CGCCGGCTTATTAAGAAACAATTGAGTTAAAAAATATTACGTAAATATTGATATATTCTTTAGCTTCTTAAGATGTCGTATTCAGTATATAATATACTTAAACAAACAAAAGAAGAATAGTGATAATGGCTAAGGAAGGATAAAAAGTATTTAAAATATAAGTATCAAGGAACATCAAGTGTAAAAATGTGTGCGATAGTAATCGTAGTTTCTTGCGCAATTGCAAGTCTCAAATATTACGTATATAAATAAAACGGTTTTACTTATTTTTTTGATATTACGTCTTTCACCGGCTTTTTTATCATAAAAATTGGAAACTATTATTAAATGCACTCAAATATATATAGAGTTAGATTTTATAAGTATTTAAAAAATTACAAAGTATATATTATACGATCAGAAAATTACAAGATATAGGAAATTAAGATCTTCAAAGAAAGATCATCAAACAAATTGGAATAACATTTGTATACAAGAAGCAATTCAGAAGATATATCAGAAAAAAATAAAGAAAACAGTTGTGAAAATGAATAAATTAAAGCCCTCGTTTCCCGGTTTATACTTATTAAAAAATGCATACACATGCCGAATAAAAGATTGAGGTACCAGACTAAAGAAAAATAAAACTGTCGCATACAGCGACAACAATGAATAAAATATTTTATAATGGATGAGTACAACAATGTATCAAGATTCCATACATCTGAACTTTTATCAATAACTTATGTTACTATATACAGGTATAAGATTGGAATTCTCACGAAAATGTCAATTCACGGAATACATCATTCCGAGTTTACTATTACAATAATGATGTTACATATTCGAGGGGGAAATTCAGTAAAAATATCGCAAGCTATAGACGCTATAAAGTCCATATCATCCTCAGCTAACCCCTGACTGACGCCAATATCAAGCAACACGTATATTAAAGGAGCACACAAAAAACATCTCAAAACGTTACACACAAATTATATAGCTGATCATGTTGTTGTTCATATTAGATTAATGCAATTGTGAAAATTATTTTAAAAAAGAAAAGAGGCGTTTTACGTTGAGAAATTTAAAGAACATTTTGTATAGAGGGTATGGACACGCTGAAATTTACACTCGTAATTCTCACAATCGCTGGATGTTGGCGACCGTTTTCGTGGACATCACTCAGAAAACATACATTATATAACGCCTATACATTATTAGTAATTAGCCTCATGTATAGTTTCACATTCACGCAATTTATGGACGTTGTCCTGAACGTCAATAATCCAGACGATTTTACTAATACTGTATACACGATGTTGGCCATATTCGCTGCGTGCTACAAAATATTCAATCTATGGGTGAATCATGAGAGTTTCGCGGAGTTAATTCAAAATCTTACGGAAGGAACGTTTAAACCATTAGTACCTGTCGAAATTGAAATTCGACGAAAATTTGACAAGATGATACAGTAAGTACAAAATTATATCCTGACTTACACTTAATTTGAAGAATTATTTGAAGCAATAATAAAGATTTGCTGATATAATAACTAAAAGATTAAATTTATAAACACATAAATTATTAAAGAAAGTTAAAAAAAGTTAGAAAATTATCAAACGTTTTTTCTCAAAGACTTTTTCCCACAGATTGTTAATATTACTAACGTTGTAAATAATATGCTGATACATTTAAATTCTTTGTATTATTTGTATATTTAAATTTTTTATATTATTTGTATAGTTTTAATAAATTTTATATTTAGAGGTAAGACAATATTTTTATATTAAAATAAATTTCGTTTTGCGAGATAAAGGCAAAATTACTTTTTCTGTTTTGTAGGAATATCGCAATCTGTTATGTTATTTTGATTATGCTCACTTGCGCAGGCCATTTCGTGGTATCATTACTAACGAGTTTCAAAAAGAGGCAGTTAATACTTAGAGGGTGGATACCGTATGATTACTCGTCGTTCGTGCTATTTTGTCTTACATACACTCATCAATACGTAGGCGTGATATCCGCATCTCTTGTTAATGTTGCTTGTGACAGTCTTATTGTTGGTCTGTTATTGCATCTGTGCTGTCAAATTACGATCTTACAGTATCGTTTTAAAGGTCTTATAACTGGTCAGAATACTCTGGATGATTGTGTACGCCAACATCGTCACATAATCGAGTTAGTCTTGTGAAAAAAATTTTTTTTATTTGATTTAATCTTAGAAAATTAATTAGTTCTAAATTTGGTAATATAATCCTAAAACTTTTCTTATTTACATGAGACATGTTTCAAAATCTTAAAAGTTGGATCTTCTATTATTAATATTCTATTAATATTATTCCTATATATATAAATACATATAGGAATAATATTAATAGAATATTAATATTAATAGAATATTAATAGAATATTAATATTAATAGAATATTAATAGAATATTAATAGAACATTTTTCGGAAATCTTGGAAACACACCGTTCAAAATAGGACATATATTCGTATGAACATCTATGCTTAAAATGACCGATATTCGATACCATCATCTCCTAGAATAATAACCTTTTCTTTTAGAACACCATGTATTAATAGTCAAAAAAGATATACAGTTTTAAGATCATAAATTTAACATCGCAATTCAAGAAACGATTACATGTTATATTCATATTTATTCTTGAATTGCGATGTTAAATTTATGATCTTAAAACTGTATGTCTTTTTTGACTATTAATACATGGTGTTCTAAAAGAAAAGGATAGATGTTTATACGAATATATGTCCTATTTTGAACGGTGTGTTTCCAAGATTTCCGAAAAATGTTCACATAAACGTATATCCCATTCTGAAAAATTTCCGAAATTATTGCAAAATTAAGAAAGAGATACTATATTTTCTAATAATTCATTGTTTGAACGACTCATTTTTTAAAGTTTTTAAAAAATGTTTAACAACTTCATCGTTTAAATTATTTTGAAAACCATTAGGAATAGAGCACATGTCACGTTTGGCTATGAGTATGAATATTTTATTTAAAATGACCAACACCATTACTTTAAAATATATTAATCTTTCTTCGTGGAATATATATTAAGTAACACATAACGACTTATCTTTTAATTTTTTAAGGCGATTAGTTTTAATGCTTGGGATAAAAATATTTTCTTTGCAGATTCGCATGCGCGACTAACCAGAGATTCACGAGAATTATCACGTTTCAATTTATAGCAAGTACATTCGTAGTCTGCTCGAACTTGTATCAACTAACTAGAGCAAAATTAATAGTAGATTTAATTATCCTTTTTGCATACACGATTTGTGTACTTATGCAAATTTTTATATATTGCTGGTTTGGAAATAAACTTAAACTGATGGTATGCATATATTTTACTCAAATTATATATTGTGGATATTTACATGTACAAGTACAATATATGTGTATATATTATTATTATGTTTTTTTATAAAGAGCTTAGAAGTAAAACACTTAATACATTGAAATATGTTATAAATTTATAGAGCCTTCAATTGATCGATAGTATTTTTGAAATAGAGTGGATAGCATTAGACCATAAAACTAAAAAGAGTCTTTTGATAATTATGATTCGCGCAATGAAACCTATTGAATTTCACAGTGCACACATTTTAAACATGAATTTAGATTCTTTTGTAGCGGTGAGTATAAAAAATACAGTAAAAAAATTAAATTTTTAAAATGCTACGAAGTATGATTTTTGAAGACTTGTTCCATTTTTCAATAAATCTCATTATCAGCTAATTCTCTCTCTCGTTCTCGCTTTCGTATGATATCTATTTTTCATTCCCTTTTTTATCCATTAAATTAAAAAAGTAAATTATCGACCACGTACTTTATCGAAAGTAGAGCAACCGTTAGCTGAAAAATTTCTATCTTTTTAACTTTTTGATTAAGACTATCGAAATAATACTTTTTAATTTTTGAAATAATACTTCAATAAAGATATTTTTCTCTATAATGTACAATACATATATGGTATTACAAGTAACACCATGATTAATAATTACAAAACATAATATAACAATTTGTAATATAAATTTTAATCACTAAGCATATTCAGGCCTATGACGGTCAAAGCTAGATTTATTTAGGCAAAAAAAGATCTAGCTTTGACCGTCATAGGCCTGAATATGCTTAAACTTAGTGTTTAATTCTACTTAGTGTTTAATTCTTGTCGGTCCGAATAAAATCTTATTATAAATTTTAATTATACGGATAATTATCTCCTTCAAACACTTTTAAACAATTTGAATATATTTATAATTATTACAGTTGCTTAAAACGTCATATTCTGCTTACAATTTGTTAACCCAAATACAGGAATAACAGTACAAAGGCAAGTAAAAAATTGCAAATATTTATTATTAATGCTTAATTTAATTATGACATGATAATGTATAAATACGCTATGGTAAAATGCTGATTAATAATAAATATTAAATATCTTTATCTATAAAAGATGTAAATAATTGTTGCTTTAATTAAGATAAGACTAAAAAAAAAAATAATATTCTGGCAATTGATAACAATTGTTTCCTTTTAAACATTTTGTATTTTATATCAGAATATATTTAAAATATGTAATAAAATATGAAACATTTATTTCTGAATAACATTGTTTTTTAATATTTTTATATACAGGATGATACTGGAGAATCTAAAATATATAATGCATTTCTATTTCTAATGGAAAAAAATTACACATTATATTATAATTTAATTATATATTATTGCAAATACAAAAAATGTAACATCATAGAAATATTGTTAAGAACATTAATTTTTTGTTTGATAATAAATGTCTTATAAATTGTCTTATAAATGCGTTCTATGAATGTTACTCCTTCGCTTAATTACGTTGCGTGAGTATAAATTAATACTAAATGATACTTCTAAACGTGAAGAACAATAAAGAAAGTGTTTTGTGTATCGATAAATAGCATGCCTCAACATATTATGAAGATTACTCATATCTCATATCATAGTGATGAACGTTTTAAGCGTTATCTCTTTCCTACTGTATTACAAATTTACTCATTCTCTAGATGTAGAAATGAAAGAAGTACATTTTTTGTAATAAAAATTGATCACAGGCGTAATCTTATTAACTACCTTGCGTAAATATATTATATTATAGACAATTATTGTAAGTATGACATTATTCTTAATAGATTCTGTTAAAACTTTATTATGAAGATACAGATATTAAATGCGTAGAAAAAAAGAGACAAAATATCAGCTAAAGTATCGTGTCAAAGAATTATTTCATATGTCTAGAAATAATACACCTTCTTGAAATTATACTTTATATCTTTTCACGTGATGTTTTTCAGAATAAAATCATTTTGAGGGCAGTTAAAATCGCTAAAAAGTTCTATACTTATTTATTATAATCATTAAGACATATATTGACGTGTACAATTTTTATGACTACTGGCTGTTTCCAACCGCAACCATGGAGACATCTATGTTCAAACTGATAATTTACAATATTTACAGATTATACGTAATTAGTACTAGTTAATTCGATGTTATATACCTTCACGCAAATAATGGACTTTTATGATGAACGTTAATGATCCTAACGACTTCACTAATTATTTGAATTGTATGATGTTAAATATTTCGACTTATGCTCAATTTCTTCACTTCCGGATAAGTTGCGGATAACCTTATCCAGGAGATATCTCCATTGTAGTCTGGGAGATATCTCTTGGATAAAGTTATCTAGAGGTGAAGAAATTGGGTATTAGTGTTATAAAATTTCTATCACCTTGTTAAGTTTCAAAAGCGTTGCTACATTAGTTAATTATCTTATTAAAAAAAACAACTTAAACCATTAAAAATTCGAGTGTAACTTTTGTTTTGAGATAATTTAATTTTTTAACTATTTAATGTAACTTATGTGAGATTTAAATACAGGGTTTGTCTAAACTAATAAAATTTATGACCGTGAAATCATATATTTGTAAGACATGTGTATGACTTCATTGTCATATTAATTATACGTATACACATATGATTTCATTGTTATAGACGGAAATTTTTATATTATGAGAAGAATCCTGTATTTAGTTCTTTATAGTATGGTTAAAAAGTAAAATATTAAAATAAACAAAATTTATAAAAAGGTTTAATATATTCGTGACTTCTGATCAGAATTTTAAGATAACTGTAGAAAAACTAAAAGAACATATAGACACATAACTTTTACCTTCATTAAAATTGGAGATAAATGGAGACAGTATCATCAATGGCAATCTATAAGCGAAAACCCATCATTTATTTCAATATCTCGTTTTTTTATATGAGAATAGCATATTATGTTGGCTCATTATGGCGCATAAGACACTACAGTCAAAAGATTTTCGCTAAAAGCTCAATCTGAAATAAAAAAAAATATATCTTGTTAGTAAATGCGATGTTTCTACATGATAATAATGAATATTGAATAGGGGTTTGTAAGCGGAAAAAGACACTGTCTATAGACGATGTCTGTAAAATAAAATGTTAAAGATACCGGTATTGTAAATACCGTTGTTATCTAACTGGAATTTGATTGTATTTTTTTCTACAAAATTGTTATAAACTTATTTAAAAAGACATACGTTGTAAAGTTAAGAAATCCTGTAGAAATGATTATGAGGAACAAATTACTTCGATTATTATCCAAATATCATAAAATATGTCATGTGTTTACGTTGCAGAATTGAATACATTGAGGCTATCTTGCTTTCTGCATTTATACTTAATAAAAAATGCATACAGATACCGAGAAAAAGATACGGAATGCCAGACTGAAGAAAACTGAAGTCGCAGACAATGACAATGAATAAAATATTTTATAATGGACGAGTACAATAATGTATCAAAATTTCATACATCTGAACTATTGTCAATAACTATATTATATTATTATATATAGGTATAAGAATGGAATTCTCATGAAATCGTCAATTCACGGAAAATATCAGTGTAGGTTTGCTATTACGATGTTACATATTTGAGGGAAAAATTCAGTAAAAATATCACGAGCTATAGACGCTGTAAAATCCATATCTCCTCAGCTAATATGTGACTGACGACAATAACACGTAACACAAATATCAATGGAGCACACGAAGAGCATCTCAAAACGTTACAACACAAATTATACACTTGATCATGTGTTGTACATATCAGATTAATGCAATTGTGGAAATTTTTTAAAAAAAGAGGCATTTTATACGTTCAGAAATTTAAAAAATATTTTACTTAGAGAGGGTATGAACTCGCTAAAATTCACAATCGCGGTTCTGACAATCGCTGGGTGCTGGCGACCTTTCTCGTCGACTTCGCAGATCAAACATGCGTTATATGACGCCTATACATTATTAGTAATTAGTATCATGTACAGCTTTACATTTTCACAATTTATGGATATTGTCCTGAACGTCGATAGTCCAGATGATTTTACTAATACTGTATACGCGATGTTGACCATGTTTGCTGCAGACTATAAAATACTCGATCTGTTTGTAAATCATGAGAGTTTCACGGAATTAATTCAAAATCTTACGGAAAGAACGTTTAAACCATTACTACTTGTTGAAATCGAAATTCAACGAAAATTCAACATGATAATACAGTGAGTACAAAAAAATTATGTCTTGATTTATATTTAGTTTATAATGACTACGTGAAAAATTAATAAAATCTTGGAAAATACTAATTGGAAAATATTAATTTTATAAATATGGAATATCGTTAAGAAAATTAAAAAAACTAGAATAAGTTATTAAAAAATTGGAATATTATCAAAACATTCTTTTCCGAAGATGTTTGTCACATCATTTTTTAATGTTATTAATGTTATAAATATTATGTTTATACCCGGTAAAAAATTTTTCATCCATGAATATGTATAAATATGTATAAACAAATATAACACGCATAAATATTCATAAACATATATAATTGTATATGAAATATGTCCATACATGTTCATACATCCTTTTTTTTTTAAAATTACTTTTTAGTGTAACAGAAATAATAATAGTAATATGAAAACATTAAAAATAATTAAAAAGGTAATTTTCGCACTATTTGTTTTAGAAAAAATCAAGTTTGAAGAAATGTAAAAAAATTACTTACGTATAATTATATATAAAATTATGCATAATTATGTATGAGTAATTTTTTTCCCAAACTTGTATTTTCCTAAAACAAACAATAATACGAAAATTATCCCTTTAATTATTTTTTATGTTTTCACTTTATTGTTATTATTCCTATTACCCTAAAAAATAATTTTATAAAAGAAAGAAGGATGTATGAACATGTATGGATATATTTCATATATAACTATACATGTTTATGAATATTTATGCGTGTTTATGTATGTTTATACATATTTATACATATTCATGTATGAAAAATTTTTTACCGGGTGTACAATTCAATTGTTTGTATATTTGTATTATTTATATATTTTTAATAAATTTTATACATATAAAGGCAGGAGAATTATTATTTATCTTTTCAATTAAAAGATAACTAATAATTTTTGTTCTGAAATAAAGGCAACATTATTTTTCGTATTTTTTAAGGAACTTGACAAAGTGCTATACAATATTGATTATGATCACTTACACAGGCCATGTTTTGAGATCGTTACTGACAAATTTCAAAAAGGGGCAGTTAGCATTTAGAGGATGGATACCGTATGATTACTCATCGTTCGTGCTATTTTGTCTCACATATGCTCATCAATACGCAGGCCTGATATTCGCTTGTTTTGTTAGCGTTGCTTGTGACGGTCTCATTGTTGGTTTGATATTGCATGTGTGCTGTCAAATTACGATCTTACAATATCGTTTGAAGGGTCTCATAAACGGCCAGAATACTATACGTGACTGTGTACGCCAACATCGTCACATAATCGAGTTAGTCTTGTGAACATTTTGTGAACTTAACTTGGAATATTTAATAATTGATTGTAAATATTGTAATATAATACTAAAATTTTTCTTATTTACATTTTTTCTTATTTACATAATTTCAAATCTTAAAATATACATAGTTAGGTAGTTGATACTTTTATTATAATATTATTTGTATTTATTTTACTTATTATTATATTTGTATAGTTATGCGTTATATTCATATTTTATTCTTGAATTGCGATATTAAGTTTATTATTTTAACAAATATTTTAATAAATATTTTTAAATTTTTTATTTTGACTATTAATATTAAATAATACATAACAGCTACTTTTTATGTATCTCTAATTTTTTCAAGACATTTAACTTTAATGCTTGGGATAAAAACATTTCCTTTACAGATTCGCAAACGCGACTAACGAGAGATTCAGGAGGATAATTGCGTTTCAATTCGTAGCAAGCACATTCGTAGTCTGCTCAAATTTGTATCAATTAACTAGAACTAAATTAATTGTAGATTTTATTGCGTTTTTTGCATATACGTTGTGCGTACTTGTACAAATTTTCATCTATTGCTGGTTTGGAAATAAACTGAAAGTCATGGTATGCATACTAATATTATCAAATTTGAAATTATTGTGTACACATACATATGTGCATAAACATATGTATTATGTGCACTATATGTATACATATATTAATTATCATATAACGCTTTTCTATAAAAAGCTTAAAAGTAAAACATGTAATATATTAAAATATGTCATAAATGTATAGAGTCTACAACTGGTCGATAGTATTTTCGAAACAGAATGGATAGCATTGGACTGTAAAACTAGAAAAAGTCTTTTGATAATTATAATTCGTGCAATGAAACCTATTGAATTTAACAGTGCATATATTTTTAACATGAATTTAGATTCTTTTGTAGTGGTGAGTATAAAGTATAATATAAAAATTGAAATTTATAGCGTATTATGAAGTATAGATTTTTTATGCTTATTCAATCTTTCAATGACTCTCAGCTAGTCACTCTCTTATTTTTGCTTTCGTTCAACCTCTTATTCTATCTTTCGCTCTTTTTCTTAGCCATTAAGTAACAAAAATTTCCAACCACATACTTTACTTTATTCGAAAGTGGATCACCTATAGTCACTATAATAAATTTCTGTTTTTTTTACCTCGTGATAAAACTTTTTTTAAAGTAATATTTTCAAAACAGTATTTTGTACTAAATGCATACTACAAGTAAAATTATAATGAGTAATTATGAACAAGAATCAACAATTTGAAATATAAATTTCGAATTATTTTTCTTAAAGATTTTAAAATTTAAATATGTTTATAATTATTGTAGTTGCTTAAAACATCATATTCTGCTTATAATTTGCTATCGCAAATACAGGAATAACGTTATAAAGGCAAGTTGTTGATATTAATCATTAATGCATAATTTGTTCATTTTCATAATAATACATTAATATGTACATTAGTACTAGATGTCTTCTAATTAGTAATAAATGTTAAATATTTTTAATTGTAAAGAGGTGTAAATAATTGTTGCTCTAATTAAGATAAGACTGAAAAAATAATATTCTAGCAATTGATAATGACTTTTTCTTTTTAAACATTTTGTATTAATATCAGAATATATTTAAAATATGTAACAAAATATGAAATAATTATTTTTGAATAATATTATTTTAATATTTTTATATACAGGGTAATACTGGAGAATCTAAAATATATAATTTTATTTTAAATGGCATTTATATTTTAAATGGAAAAAATTACACATTATATTATTGTTTAATTACATTATTGCAAATACAAAAATTTGACGTCATAAAAATTCATATATTATTAAGAATATTAATTTTTTGTTTGACGATATGTAGTCTCATAAATAAGTTCTGTGAATGTTACTGTTTTGCTTGATTATGTTGCATGAGTATAAATCAATAGATACTCTATGATCAAATTCTAAACGTGAAAGATAATAAAGAAAATATTTTGTGTATCGATAAATAGCGTACATCAAGACATGAAGATTAGTCATATCTCATATCATATTGATGAATGTTTTACATAAGCGTTATCTCTTTTTAACTGTATTACAAATTTACTCACTCTCTAGATGTAGAAATGAAAGAAGTACATTTTTTGGAATAAAAATTGATCACAGGCGTAATCTTATTAATTACCTTACGTAAATATATTATATTATATGTAGACAATCATTGCAAGTTTGATATTATTCTTAACAGATTCTGTTAAAGCTTTATTACGAAGATTCAGATATTAAATATGTAGAAGAAAAAAGAGAAAATATCGCCAGCGAAAGTAAAGTCGTGTCAAAGAATTGTGTCGTATATCTATAGATATCATAATATACCTTCTTGAAATCATATTTTATATCTTTTTACATGATTATCTTTTTCAGAATAAAATCATTTTGAGAGTAGTTAAAATCGCTAAAAAGTTCTCTACTTTTTTTTATTTATCATAGTTATTAAGACACATTGTATATATATATATCTTTTTCTTCTGATCAAACACTTTGTTATACACATTACGAAATTGACGTGTACAATTTTTATGATCGCTGGCTGTTTCCAACCGCAATCATGGAGAGACATCTTTGTTCAAATTTATAATTTACAATATTTTCAAATTATGCGTAATTAGCACTAGTTAATACGATGTTATATACTTTCACGCAGATAATGGCCTTTGTGATGAACGTTAATGATCCTAACGACTTTACTAATTATTTAAATTGTATGATGTCAAACATTTTGACTTCATACTTGTTATAAAATTTTCATCACCTCGTTAAGTTTCAAAAAGGTATATGACTTCATTGTCATATTAATTATACGTATACACATATGATTTCATTGTTATAGACGGAAATTTTTATATTATGAGAAGAATCCTGTATTTAGTTCTTTATAGTATGGTTAAAAAGTAAAATATTAAAATAAACAAAATTTATAAAAAGGTTTAATATATTCGTGACTTCTGGTCAAAATTTTAAAATAACAATAGAAAAACTAAAAGAACATTTAGACAGATAACATTTACCTTCATTAAAATTGGATATAAATGGAGACAAATATCATTAATGACAATCTAATGAGCGGACAGCAAAAACCCAGCATTTATCTCAATATCTCGTTTTTCATGAAAATAATTTTTTATGAAAATAGTAGCTTATTATATTGGCGTATTATAGCGCATAAGATACTACAGTCAAAAAAGTTTCTAAAAACTAAAATAAACCTAAAATAAAAATTAAAAAATCCTGTTAGTAAATGCGACGTTTCTACAATGATAATAATGAATATTAATATAAATAGCAGTCGATAAGCGGAAAAAAACATCGTCTGTAGACGATATCTATATGGAAATTTTAAAGTTACCAGTATCGTAAATACCGTCATCATCGGATCGAAATTTGATTGTATTTTTTCTACAGAATTCTCGTAAACTTATTTAAAAAAATATACGTTGTAAAGTTAAGAAATCCTATGGAAATGAGGAATAAATTACTTCGATTATTATCTCTATTTAATCCAAATATCATTCAATGTGTCACGTGTTTACGTTGCAGAAGTGAATAAATTGAGGCTATCTTGCTTTCCGTGTTTATACTTAATAAAAAATGCATACAGGTACCGAGAAAAAGACGCAGGGAACGCCAGACTGAGGAAAACTGAAGTTGTCGCAGACAGCGACAATGAATAAAATATTTTATAATGAACGAGTACAACAATGTATCAAAATTTCATACATCTAAACTCCTCTTGTCAACAACTTATATTACTATATATAGGTATAAGAATGGAATTCTCATGAAAACGTCAATTCACGGAAAACAACAGTGTAGGTTTGCTATTACGATGTTACACATTCGAGGGGAAAATTCAGTAAAAATATCGCGAGCTATAGACGCTGTAAAATCCATATCTCCTCAGCTAATCCATGATTGACGACAATAACACACAACACAAATACCAAAGGGGTACACGAAGAGCACCTCAAAACGTTACAATACAAATTACATAGTTGATCATGTGTTGTACATATCCGGTTAAAGCAATTGTGGAATTTTTTTAAAAAAAAAACCATTTTCTACGTTCAGATATTTAAAGAATATTTTATTTAGAGGGTATGAACTCTCTAAAATTCACATTCGCAATTCTCACAATCGCTGGGTGCTGGCGACCGTTCTCGTGGACTTCGCTGATCAAACATGCATTATATGACGCCTATACATTATTAGTAATTAGTATCATGTATAGCTTTACATTCTCACAATTTATGGATGTTGTCTTGAACGTTGATAATCCAAATGATTTTACTAATACTCTATACACAATGTTGACTATGTTCGCTGCAGACTATAAAATACTCAATCTGTTTGTGAATCATGAGAGTTTCGCGGAGTTAATACAAAATCTTACGGAGGGAACATTTAAACCATTGCTACTTGTTGAAATCGAAATTCAACGAAAATTCGATAAGATGATAGAGTGAGTACAAAAAATTTTGTCTTGATTTATATTTTATTTAATTTATAGGTAGTGACTATTTTAAAAAAATAATAAAGTTTTGGAAAATACTAATTGTTATATTAATTTTTTAAATATGGAATATCGTTAAGGATATTTTAAAAAATTAAAATATTATTGAAACATTCTTTTCCGAAGATGTTTGCCACATCGTATTTTATTATTATTAATGTTATACATATTATATGTATGTACGATTAAATTATTTGTACAATATATTTATATTATAATATTCATGTATTTTTTATAAATTTTATATATAAAGGTAGAAGAATATTTTTCAATTAAGATAAATAATTTTTGTTTTGAAATAAAGGCAAAATTACTTTTAATATTTTTTTAGGAACATCGCAAAGTGCTATACCATATTGATTATGATCACTTACACAGGCCATGTTTTGATGTCGTTACTGACAAATTTCAAAAAGAGACAGTTAACATTTAGAGGTTGGATACCATATAATTATTCGCCATTCACGCTATTTTGTCTCACATACGCTCATCAATATGTAGGCGTGATATTCGCGTGTCTTGTTAGCGTTGCTTGTGACAGTCTTATTATTGGTTTGTTATTGAATGTGTGCTGTCAAATTACGATCCTACAATATCGTTTTAAAAGTCTTATAAATGGCCAGAATACTCTACGTGACTGTGTACACCAACATCGTCACATAATCGAGTTAGTCTTGTAAACATTTTATTAGACTTAACGTAGAATATTTAATGTCTAATTAATTGTAAATTTAGTAAATAATACCCAAATTTTTCTCATTTACTTTTTTTTATTTATATATTTAGAAATTCTAAAAGTTGGATTTGTTATTGTAATATTATTTCTATTCATTCTATTTATTATTATATTTGTACAGTTATGCAATATATTCATATTTGTTCTTAAATTGCAATACTAAATTTATTATCTTAATACTTTATGTCTTCTGTTGACTATTACTATTAAATATTACGTGATATCTATTTTCTATATATCTCTAATTTTTTCAAGACATTTAATTTTAATGCTTGGGATAAAAACATTTCCTTTACAGATTCGCATATGCCACTAACGAGAGATTCACGAGGATAATCGCATTTCAATTCGTAGCAAGTACATTCGTAATTTGCTCAAATTTGTACCAATTAACTAGAACCAAATTAATTGTAGATTTTATTGCGTTTTTTGCATATACATTATGCGTACTTGTACAAATTTTCATCTATTGCTGGTTTGGAAATAAACTGAAACTCATGGTATGCATACTAATATTATCGAATTTGAAATTATTGTGTACACATACATATGTGCGTAAACATGTGTATTATGTGTATATTATATATTAATTATCGTACGCTTTTCTATAAAGAGCTTAGAAGTAAAACATGTAATATATTAAAATGTATCATAAATGTATAGAGTCTTCAACTGGTCGATAGTATTTTCGAAATAGAATGGATAGCATTGGACCTTAAAACTAAAAAAAGCCTTTTAGTAATTATGACTCGCGCAATGAAACCTATTGAATTTAACAGTGCATACATTCTTAACATGAACTTGGACTCTTTTGTAGCGGTGAGTATAAAGTATAACATAAAAATGGAATTTCGTAGCGTATTATGAAGTATAGATTTTTTGTGCTTATTCAATTTCTCTCATCTAACTCACCTTCTCATTTTTACTTTCGTTCAATATCTTATTTTATATTTCGCTCTTTTCCTTAGCCATTAAGTAAAAAAAATTTCTAATCACGTACTTTAATTTATTCAAAAGTGGATGAATTATAATCACTATAATAAAATTTCTATCTTTTTTATTACCTCGTGATAAAACTTTTTTTAAAGTAATATTTACAGAAAAGTATTTTGTACTACATATATGCATATTACAAGTAAGACCATAATGAGTAATTATGAACAAGAATCAATAACTAAAAAAAAATTTGAATTATTTTTTTAACGATTTTGAAATTTAAATATGTTTATAATCATTGTAGTTGCTTAAAACATCATATTCTGCTTATAATTTGCTATCCCAAGTACAGGAATAAAGGCAACAGTATAAAGGCAAGTAAAAAGATGTATTTGATATTAATCATTAATGCATAATTTGTTAATTTCTATATATATAATAATGCATTAATACATTAGTATTAGATGTATTCTAATTAGTAATAAATGTTAAATATTTTTAACTGTAAAGAGATGTAAATAATTATTGCTCTAATTAAGATAAGATTGAAAATAACATTTCAGCATTTGCTAATGTCTGCTTTTTTAATCATCTTTTTGTATTTTATAGCAGAATATATGTATATAAAACTACGTAACAGAATGTAAAACATTTATTTTTGAATAATATTTTAATATTTTTATGTACAGGATAATAGTGAAAGAAAGAAAAAAAATTTAACAAAATTTATATATATATTTCTATTCTAAATAGAATAAAACTTACACATCATTATCACTTAATTACATCATTGCAAATATAAAAAATATTATGTTATAGAAATTTAGATATTAAAATCTCTAAATTTCTCTTGTCTGACAATATATAGTCTTACAAATGCGTTCCTCGAATGTATTACTCCGTGGTTTGGTTATAATGCGTAGAAGTCAATACTGAGGGATGATACGTCATATTCTAGACGCGAACGATATTAAACAAAATACTGTAACAATAAATAGCATATATCAAGATATTATGAAGATTACCTGTATCTCATATCACATTGATTGCAGAGTAGAGTTAATTCTCCCGTTTCTTCTATATTGCTACTTTACTCTCTCTCTCTCTCTCTCTCTCTCTCTCTCTCTCTCTCTCTCTCCCCCCTCTCTCTCTTTCTCTCTAAATGTAGAAATAAAAGTAGTACATTTTCTACAATAAAAATTGCACATATACGTAATTTTATCAACTACCTTGCATAAATATTACACTACAGACAGTTACGACAAGTTTGATATTACTCTTGACAGACTATTACATATATTACGAAGATACAGATATCAACCTTCAGTATAAGAGAACTCTCCTATCTGAGTTATTGTAGCCTGGGCCGATTTTCATAGTTTAGACGTTTGAACACGCTTTGTGCAGTGACGCTGAAGCTTAGGGGGAAAAACTTGTGTACTGTGAACTGTCTCTATAATTCCCTTGCTTGACGACTTTGTGCGCCATTAGCGACAGAACTACGACGGAGTGCGTACTCAGATTATATTAACCTAATATGGGTAAATTGTCAGGAAATCAAAATTTACAAAAAAGTTAAAATGTAAGTAAAAGTGATTAATTGGATTATTTGTGATTCGTGTTATGAGTGTAAATCATAAAAATGAGAGAGAGAGAGATTTAAGACAGTTTTATTGTACTTTTAATGTCGGAGAGAAGAATTTAATTACCCAATCAGCGCAGAATATTTAAAAATATTTTTTAAACATTTATTTCATTTTTTTTACATTAAAAAGGTATTTAAAAAATATGTTTTAAATATTTTTTTAATATTGTATGCTGATTAGGCAATACTAAGATTATTATTGTAATTCTTGCAAATTGTTAATATTTACTACAGAAAATTTTTTTTATTTATTTAACGATAGGAGTATTTTTTTCAATTATTTCTATCAAAATTTAAAGTTTGTCGGTCATATAATTAGTTTCAATAAAACTAAAAGATCATTCATTTCCACTTTCTAAAAAAAAAAAAATTTTTTTTTAGAACGGATCGGAAAATCGCCTGTGGTTTCTTGAAGTTCAACTCACTTACAGCTATTGATTTATCACTGATAAAATCTCTTCTCGTTAATTTTTTTATTAAACTATGAGATTTTGAAAAAAATTCGTTTTTTTATCCGTTTTAATCCGATCTCTTTTTACTTATTGGAAAATATCTTTTGTTGTATGATTTTTTGGACTTTCTCTTTCCGAAAATTCTTTCTTTTCAGTCTTTAAATAATCGACTTAAAAAAATAAATAAAATTGATGCGTTACAATTCGAGATACAAAGGAAAGAAAACGCCGTATTAGAAATACGAATGTATATAGATATAGATTCGCAGGAAGTGTATAAGTACTAAGAGGATTAAATATATAGAAGAAACGAAAAAATATCGTCGGCGAAAATATCGTATCGAAGAATTGTGTCCTGTTTTTAGATATTTCTTAGTGTACTTTCTTCAAATTATATTAAATTTTATTTTACGCACTATAGTGATTTTGTCAAATTATTCTTTCGAAGACAATTAAAATTTCTAAAGAAATTCTATAATCATTTAGTCAGTACAATAGTTGATAAAACAAGTTGTAAACGGATACAGACGTACGTATCTTTCTTTTAATGACAAATAAGAATTCATAATGCACGTTCTGAAATTAACACGTACAATTTGTATGATCACTGGATGCTTTCGACCGCAATCGTGGACATCTTTGTTTAAATGGATAATTTACGACATCTACAGATTGTACGTAATTAGCATGATGTATACTTTCACATTCTCGCAAATAATGGATATTGTTATGAATGTTGATAATCCTAACGACTTCACTAATAATTTGAATATGATGTTAAATATGTCAGCTTCGTGTTATAAGTTTTATATCGCCTCTTCAAGTTATAAAAACATTGTTACATTAATTAATTATCTTACTGAAGAACCATTTAAACCATTAGATTTGGGTGAAATAAAAATTCGACGACGATATGATAAAATAATACGGTAAATATATTTTTAAGAATAAATTTTAAGCTTTTACCAAATATAAATCTAAATATTTTTTATTTAGTATTAAACATGCAATATTTTAAAAAATTTATGTAAGGTCATTACTAGATTTTAATTTATTTTTTAAATTAAAATTTAAGATATTTAAAATAAATGCATACATGTATTTGTAAATAATTTAATAACAAAAAGTGTAACTCAATTAATTATATATTAAAATAAAAAGCTCAATTATTATCACAATTAATACTCCGTGATACTATCACAATTAATACTCCGTGATAAAGAATGAAAATGAAATCATTCTTAAATACTTAGTATCGAAACTTATGTGTATTAAAAATAACATAGATGTAACAAACTCTTAAGTCGCTTTCTAGAAACAATACTTTGCGCTACGCGATCATGATTGTGACAGCATGGACATTTATGACTTTGATGTCGTTGCTCACTAACTTCAGACACAGGAGGTTAACATACAGAGGATGGATACCATATGATTATTCGTCTTATACAAAATTTTGTCTTACATATGGTCAGCAACTATTAAGCACGTTCCACGGTGCTTCCATAAATGTTGCTTGCGATACTCTCCTGTGCGGGCTCTTAATGCACATATGTTGTCAGATCGAGATCTTGGAGTATCGCCTAAAAAAACATTTGTGCAATCAATTTAGTCTGGGCTATTGCATACGCCACCACAACCGAATTTTTGAGTTAGTTATTAAAACACATATTAATAATAGAAAGTTATATAGGGTGTTCCATTTTAAAGAATTCACAGAAATATCTCTGAAACACTGCGTTAAATCGAAAAATGTTTTAGACGAAAGTTTTTTGATTGAAAATATTTTGTTATTAAGTACTTCAGCAAGTTATAAGGCTTGAAAGTTACAGTACCGTTGGCATTAGCATTATCCAAAGTGTCCGACTGACGGCTAAAACCTCTTGAATATTGTTCAGGATCATGACCTGGATATTTGTCCATGGAAACCATTGGAGGTTGTACCTCTTATTTTCATTTTTCACTAAAAATTCATTTTTATGTAAAAATGAAAATGAGAGGTACAACCTCTAATGGTCTTGATTTTGACAAATGTTAATCAGGTCATGATCCTGAACAACATTCAAGAGGTTTTAGCTGTCGGTCGGACACCTTGGGTAATGCTAATGCCGACGGTAGGTACTGTAATATTCAAGCCTTATAACTCACGAAGTACTTAATGAAAAAATATTTTATTTTGGTATTTTGAAAAGCTCTCGAGGTAAGCTACAAGAATATGTAATAAAAAATGAGGAGTTCTATTTAAAAAATTCGGAGTGACCTTAACCTGACAACGTCACCCAAGGTCAAACAAATGGTACCATCTTATAACCCCCTCGAAGTCAAGAAACTTTCGTTTGAAACATTTTTCGATTTAACGCAGTTTTCGGAAACATGACAGTGTTTCCAAGATATTTCAGTGGATCGTTTAAAATGGGACACCCTGTATATTTATTTTATTTAATGTTACTTTTATGTGTTAGTTATTTGAACAAAATTGTGATAGAAGTATTATATTTTTCTATTTTTATTTATTGCTAAGAAAAAAATATTAGTTCTTATGTCAGAGTTATCTAAAATAATTAAATAAATTATGAATTTTTTAAATGTGTGTGTATAACCTATTTTGATAAACAACTTATTATTACTGGTTTTAGATATTTACCTGTTATTTAGTTTATTTTACATATATTTTATAATTTTTCATAATTTCCTGTTGCAACAATTCATTTAAAAAATAGTTATAGTGATTATTAACTTAGAATATAATAATATTACAATACTCTAAAAGTGAACTTGATTACAGATTTGCGCAGATGGTGAATACAAGATTTACGCAAATAATTGGATTCCAACTTATGGCAAGTACAATGGTAACATGTTCTAATTTGTATCAACTGACTAAGTCAACTTTAAATGCAGATCATTTTGCGCTAATAATGTACACATGTGCCACGCTAATACAAATTTTTGTTTATTGTTGGTTTGGAAACAAAGTCAAATTAAAGGTATCTTTATAATGAAACAAGTTGTTGGATATTATAAATAATATATTTTATTAAAATTAACATTTTCTTCTATAGAGTTTGCATTTAACAGACAGTATTTTTCAAATGGAGTGGCCAGTTGTAGAAAATAGTATTAAAAAAGACATCTTAATAATCATGAAACGTGCAATGATACCGATTGAAATTACTACTGTACATATTCTGACTATAAATTTGGATTCCTTCGTAGCGGTTAGTGTAAAAATTTTAATGCGTTAATCTTAAAATAATTAAAATAATAAAGATATATCAAATAAAATTGTATTGTTGTTTATTTAATTACAATTAGTTTCAATAATAAGAATTATTCCTGTAAATATAGTACTTATAAAATTTCATAAATTTTCATATATAAATAATTACATTGTCGAAATTATAAGTATAAACGTTTTTATAGTAGTCTGAAATGTGTTTTTATCATTTTAGTTGCTTAAAACATCATACTCTGTTTATAATCTATTGGTACGAATCCAAGAATAGTAAGAATACATAAGTAGAAGAAGATTTTGGAATACCATTTTGTTTTATTGAAATAATTCAATAAATATTCATGTAACATTAGTACTTTTTGTGCAAGTTTGTTAACCATAGAATGATATCAATTATAGGTAAAAGTTTTTCGAGAATACAAAACCTAAATTATAAAAAATTGAAGATAAAGAAAGGTTGTGATTATGAAATAAAAGGGGAATACTAATACTATTAATAGTATAGAGTATAATTTTACACATCTGATATATGCACACATTTAGTTACCAAAAATTTAGTTTAATTAATATATCATTTAGAAGCCATATATTCAAGGCCTCCAAATTAAATTACAAAATTAATACCAACATACTTCTCAAAATTAAATAAACAGTACACATTTGTAAAACTGTCTACACTATCTGCAAAACTGGCAATGCAGTAAACGCCAGTGGCCACACTACACGTTTAAGCAAATTGTGAAGAAGTAATTTTGACGATCGTCAAATATACAGCTCAAACTATACAAAATATTGTAATATTTTATAATCTCCCATTAATTCCATAATTGCTTCTTTTCTTTTATAAAAGCGTAAATTTAATTTAATATATAAACATATAATTGTAATAAAATTGCAATAAGATAATTATTGTGAAATAATGATATTAATGTTAAATATTGTTGTAACTGTAATTGTAAAAAAATATATGAATATGTATATTTATCACCGTTTTCATTTTCAGTATATTTTTATGTATTAAAAGATATACAAGATACCTATGTTCGATATAAGCGTCTGATTCTATTAGAGATACTTTCTACTTTAATATAATATAAATAAATTTAACATTTACATATTTCACAATCTAAATATAATAAAATATGATTTATTTTATGTGAAGAGTTTTGTATAATACTGTTTTATACAAATAGTGATATAAAAGAAATTACCGTAAAAAAGTATACAGTTGTATCGTGCATATGCATAGAACATAATATTATCAAAACTTAGTCACTGTTAAGCTTTTCGAATTTTTCTTCTGAATATTTGACTATAGTCTTACAAAGCATAGCTTTAAACTACTTCCTGATTCTATTTCATGTATATTGTAGCAATCAATACTGAGCGATGTATCTCGCCTTCTAGAATTGAAGATATAATAAATGAAATATCTTACATATTGACAAGTGATGTACAAGGCGATTACGTTTTATGTTTTATTAATAAACTTTTAGAAATGTATTGTTCCATCTTGATTGTATTACGAGTTTGCTCTCCATCTAGATGTAAATATTATTTACATCTATCATTGGTACCATAGTATTATTGTACCGTATATTTATATTACATAAAGATACAGGTATTAAATGTGCAGGGTAAAAGAAATATAAAAGAAATATAAAAGAAATATCATCGAGAAGAGAAATATCGTCACTATCGAAGAAACACATCACATGTCTATAGACATTTATTGGTGCACCCTCTTCTTGAAATAATATTACCTGATTTTTCTTATCGTATGATAGAAATTTTGTCAAGTTAAAGTTAGGGACGTATCGTTGTGAATACTATTAAAAGATTTCTATTGAATTAAGAAGAATTTGTTTGACAACATACATTATATATTCAAATGCAATTATATATATATTTTTTATTTCTTAATTAAACGAGAGAATTAATAATGCACATTTTGAAATTGACACGTACAATCGTTATAGTCGCTGGATGCTTTCGACCACTTTCGTGGACATCTCTGTTTAAACAGACTGTATATAATATTTACAGGTTATATGTAATTAGCATGTTATATTTTTTTTCAATGTGGCAATTTATGGACATTATTTTAAATGTTGATAATCCTTACGACTTCACTAATAATTTAAATATGCTCTTGACTTCATCTGCTGCATGCTATAAGATGTTTATCGTGTGGTTAAATTATGAGAAGATTGCAGCATTAATTAATTGTCTTATTGAAGAGCCATTCAAACCATTAAATTTGGGCGAGACAAAAATTCAGCGCCAATACGATAAAATAATACGGTAAATATATATCTTAATTAAATAATTTTTAATCCTTTTAATTTGACATTATTGTATTATAGTTCCTTTTAATATTCTATTGTACGTATAATAAGAAAAATTTAAAAAAACGTATTTAAGATTGTAAATTCTAAAAATTTAATTTTATTATTAAAAATTTTAAATATTTGAGAAATTGCACAGCAAATTTGTTAATAATTTAATAATAAGTTAATTTAAAGAAATTAAATTTAATTATAGTGCTATTAAAAATAGTAGTAGGTGTATTATTTATTATAAAAAATGAATGCGTACAATTACCTAAATTATTCATATTAAAGCTTAGAGCTTGTATGTAACAATTTTTTCAATTATTTTCTAGAAACAACACGTTACGTTATACGAGCTTGATCGGAACGACATGCTCGTTCATTGCCCTCATGTCGTTATTCACTGATTTTAGACACAAAAGATTAACGTATAGAGAATGGGTACCATATAATTACTCGTCTTACATGAGTTATTATTTTACATACGCTCAGCAAATGATAAGTACTTTTCATTGCGCTAGCGTAAACGTCGCTTGTGATACTCTCCTATGTGGCTTATTAATGTACATATGTTGCCAACTCGAGATCTTGGAATATCGCCTACAGAATATCTCAAATAATGAATTTACTCTGGGCTTCTGCGTACGCCATCACAATCGAATTTTAGAGTTAGTTATCATATTGTGATACCAGATAATTATTTATTATTTAACACTGCTCTCAAAAGTATTTTTTAATAAAATGATGATAGAGAAATCGTATATTTATCTTCTACTTTTCTGTCCGTATTTTTTACGATTACAAAGGAAAAAAAGAAAAAAAATTGAACTAAGATTTTATACATTAAGCATAAAAAATGTATACATTTTATATAATCGCTAAAAAAATTGTACACGTTGCTATTATTTTCGTCAATTCGCTAGTTAAAATAGATATTTTAATTATCACCTTATTAAATACGTTAATTTGTTAATTTAATTTACAAATATTTCATAATTTTTATGTTGCGGTATATAATAATAAAATTCATTTATGACGACATGTACATTATTAATTTTATGCATGAGTATTATAGCGATCTAAAATCAAAAATTATATTGTAGATATGCTCAATTAGTGAATGTGAGATTTACAAAAATAGTCGGATTTCAGTTTATGGCAAGTACGATGGTAATTTGCTGCAATTTGTATCAATTAACCAGTTCGGCTTTGAGCGCAAATCATATACCATTAATTATGTATACATGTTGCATGCTGACACAAATATTTATTTATTGCTGGTTTGGAAACAAAGTCAAATCCAAGGTATATCAAATAAATAAATTATTAAAGACGCTAAATAAAATATTTTACGTATTATTCTACAGAGCCTTCAACTAACGGACAGCATCTTTCATATTGAGTGGCCAATTTTAGACAATAGTATTAAGAAGAGTCTCTTAGTAATTATGAAGCGTGTAATAATACCCATTGAAATTTCTACTGTATATATTCTAACCATAAATTTGGATTCTTTTGTGGCGGTCAGTATAACAGTATAAATTTTATTTTAATGTAGTTAAAACAGTCCTTGAATAATCATTTAATGAATTCTTGTGTTTCTAATTACAATATATTCAAATAATAAAAATTGTTTTATTAAATAAGAGAATTTAGAAGTATTTTCATATACAAATTATTTGTAAACTTGTTTATAAAAAACTAATAATAAATTTAAATATGATAATATATTTATATATATGTATAATAATATTAATTATTTTTTAACATTTCAGTTGCTTAAAACATCGTACTCTGTTTATAATTTATTGGTACGAGTGCAAGAATACTAAAAATTGGGAAACAAGTAAAACAAATACTTATCTTTATTTATTTGATATAATTAAAAAATGAAAATAAGATATAATTGTTGTTAATATCTTAGTATTAAAAATAAATATATACATACACAGCTTTTTATATTTGATAATGGTTTTTATATTGTACTTATATCAGAAGAAACATGAAAAAAATTAAAGTTTAACATAATCATCTAACACATATTTTGCATTTCAATACTATAAAAATTTATTATATTTATATTTTGTTACACAATCTGACATAAATGTATTATCTTAAATAAAGTGTTTTTTATTTATTATATTTTATAAAATATATTTTATAGAAAAATCGCACGAAAAATCATAGTATTAAAAAACAAAAAAGGGCAAAGCCTAATGCAAGCATGCATTATTGAACATAACAATATAACGTTAGAAAAACTTGGGATTTGTTCCGTTATTCACTGAAAACCTGTAGTATACATAACATAAATTATAAATTTTCAGTACTTGTAATGAATAAACGGAAAGCATGTTTTCGTTTATTTCATTATAATATTATAAGTGCATTCCTTTAAAGAATCTGATGTGATTCTTTTATCTGATTACGTTAGAATGTCGTGATTCTTTTTGAAAATATAATGTAATAAAACATATATAGTCGCGCGCGCGCCCGATGACAGATATATGTGTAGGTATTAAAATATACGCATATTGTCGAGGTTCCATCTCATATTTTATCAATGAGTCTTCGAAGAATTCTTTTTTCTCTTTCTGTTGGGTTATTTGTTTTCTATGTCAATATCACAATGAGAAACATCTTCTATATAATGAAAATTGAATGTAAAAATAATATTTTGAATGTAAAAGTAGTACATCAAATTCTATTGTGGAAACAATGCATTCAAGACAGTTATTGCAACTTACAGATATTAAATATGCACAAGTAAGAACATTGTCGATTTATTAATCTAAGTGTAAGAGTAAATAAACAAAAATAAAAGGATAAGTAAAGTATTTTTAAAAGATTAGTTGCATAATCATTATCAGCTATAATCATTATAAAACAATTGTAATAAAGAATTGTTCTATAAAATCTTAATGTTCACTCTCTTTATCTGTACATGTATACGACATAGTTTTTATATTTTGTTTGAAAGTATTTATATATATTATATTTTAGAAAAAAAATATATAAATGTTGTAGCAAAATTTAAATTTATTAAATTGAAAAAATTAAATATAAATTAAATCGAATCTTAATTTTTATTTTTTGGATAATACTAAACTCTCTATTTTAATATGTACAAATTTTATATTCATATGTATATTATCATAACTGAAAATGAAATATGCAATAAATGGTTTATATATATGTAATATATCGTTTATATCTTATGGATTTTACTTTAATATTTTTTTTGGAATGGTTAAAAGTATAACAAAAAATATTGTACTATTAAAAGAAGAAATCAGAATTGCATAATAGTATATAAAAAAGTAATGTCAGAGAGAGAGAGAGAGAGAGAGAGAGAAATTATTATTTCTAAATTCTTTTATCTGTGTGTGTGTTTAACTACAGTCTTACAAATGTTTAACTACAGTCTTACCTCTAACGTGGACTCCTTAATTCGTTTGGTTATGTTGCGTATAGAAATCAATATTAGAATATCGAGATTCTTCCTACGAAGAATAAAAAATAATATAATGAAATCAGAACACACGGCAGTATCTCAGCGCTAAAAAAAGTACAGCGATATATCATAGCGTGAGACCGATATATATCAAACGGTGATGAGGGACATATACGAAGATATATATCGGGGTCTATATTTTATTAACAAATCATTAAAGTAATTTTCTTTTTTTGTTGTGTTATTTTTTATCTCAATGTATCAATGAGAAACATCTATATATAAAAGTTACATCAAAAAATAATTTATCGAATGTAAAAGTAGTTTATCCAATTCTTTTGTAGAAATATCGCATTGAAGGTAATTATTGCAAAATACAGATATTAAATACAGATAGATATTAAATATAGATAGTAGAAGTAGGAAATATCATCGACGAAAAATATTATCAGAGAAGTAGCATCAGAAGTCTATAGACAGTTTACAGAACCTTATTGAAATTGTACGTTATCTCATTTTACGTCTTATAGAATAGAGATTTTATCAAGTTAAAGTTATCTTGAGAATAATATTAATAATAATATACATTGGATAGTTGAAATCCGTTATACGTATCTTATTTGTTTCTTTTTTTTCACAATAAAATTAGATGTGACATAATGCAAGTTTTAAAATTGACGTATACAATTGTTACAATCGCGGGATGTCTTCGACCGCGATCATGGACGTCTTTATTTAAACGAACACTTTATAATATCTACAGTATACAAGTGATTGGCATTTTATACGTATTTTCATTGTTGCAATTTCTGGATATTGTTTTCAACGTCGATAATACTGATGCATTCACAAACACTCTAAATCTAATGTTGACCACGTCCGCTTCATGCTATAAAATGATTATCATGTGTTTAAATTATGATGATATTGTAACATTAATTGATAATCTTATCGAAGAGCCGTTTAAACCATTAGATCCAGATGAGATGAAAATTCGACAACAATATGACAAGATGATACGGTAATGTCTTTAAATTGAGTGATTTTCAATTCTTTATATAATATTCTGTATAGTATATTTATATAGTTTTCTGCTAAATATTTATTTCTTTAACAAAATTTTATAGAAATGTATAATTAAAAATGTATTGAAGATTTAATTTTATTCTATATTTACTTTGATTTAGCAGAATTATTTAAAGAGTTACAAATAAAAATTTGTAAATAATGTAATAAGGAATTATACTTTTTAATCTAAAATAAAATTTAATTAACAATATGTTAGTATTATGAAATAATATTTTATCTGTTATAACAAAGAATGAATATATTCAAGTATTTTACTCTACAGTACACATTAGAATAATATAGATATAATAAGATCTTTAATCATTTTCTAGGAACAACACATTAGGTTACACAGGCTTAGTCGTGGGATCATTTTGTTTTACCAGCCTTTTAACTTCATTCTTCACTCATGTTAGATATAAACGGCTAAAGTATAGAGAATGGCTACCATACGATTATTCATCTAATATATTAATATATGGTCTTACATACATTCAACAAATGTTAGGTGGATATTATTGCGTTATTGTAAATGTCGCAATAGATACTCTCATGTGCGGATTTTTAATGCACATATGTTGTCAAATTGAAATCTTGGAAAGTCGCCTAAAGAAAATATTGAGCAAACAGATTACTCTGAGTTACTGCATACGTCATCATAATCAAATTTTTGAGTTAGTTATCATTTCAATATAGGAAAATTAAATTTTATTAAGCATTCTGTTGCAGAGTATAGACGATAAATCTCCGGTATTTTAAAATATCACAATTGTAGGTATTTTTTTTATAAAAAAAGACTAAAATGTTTTAAAATAAATTTCGATATAAGTATTTTTAGTAGTATAAAGGATATCGAGCTGATGCTACTTGATGCCAAGTACACTGAAATATATCGATCACTATGATGCTAAAATGTTTGTTACTTTTTGAACAGACATTTTTCTCGGTGCATAAAAATAACATCTGCTCAGAAAAAAGTCCAAGCTGTAGTGTAGTTTGCAAAGTCAAAATCTGTTATACTAATATAATTTTCATTGTGTGTTTAAGAAATCGCTAGTGAGCATATCTATTCACGAGACAGTCTTCGATCATTAGAGCTTACATGTTCGTCAAATGTTACGGGCTTTCTACAATAAGCCATTACTTAAGTTTTAAGTTTTAACCCGTAAGAAACTGACCAATCATAGTCGATTATTTTTCTCACATTCGACTATGATTGTAATTTTTAAGTCCGATCCAACGATCTGAAAAAGTTGCATCTAAGAGACTTATCGTAGAAAGCCTCTTGATGCAACTTTTCCAGATCCTTGGAGATTGGGCGAAAGGCCCTATATATTCATTTCCTAGCAATCTCGTTCCTCATGCAATCACTTCTTCTGATATCTTCTTTTGAAAATATATCAAAGACATATTTTACTCCATCAAAGTGCAAAAGTGAATATTTTGCGTAACTGAATTGTAACCGTCATTAATGCCATAACATAATGATGTGCTGTAGAACATTTGGCGTGAAGTAGAATACTTACTTGATATCCTCGTATAAAGTTACTGGCCATCTTTTAAGAGACATATATATTCTGATATATTCTTTTTTAGATCGCAAAACTTCTAGTTATTAATTAAAATTTTACATTCTATAAAATTATATTATTATAATAAGAATTATCAAGAAAGATCATATTTTAGAAATTTTATTTTATTACATACGTTTATAATATATAAAAAAATTATACTTTCTTTTTCCGCCCCGAATCATTTTTTTTTAAGTGTACATATATTATATACATATATATATTTTCTTATTATTTATATATAGTATCCTTATCCTTATCATTGAAGGTGCTTACATAAAAGTTTGTTAATTTTTTGTAAGAAACTGTTTAGTTGTTATTTACACAAAAAAATTTATTTAAAAAAATACTTTAAAATATGTAAATATGTATGTTTATTCTTATTACCTATACGTATTATTTTAAAATATCGGAAGTTTGTCGTATATACCTACACTGTGTATGATTTAAGTAAAGCAGTGATGGAAGTCATGTACTTTCTTTATCATATTTTTTTATTATTAAAAGAAAAAAAAATTCTATTCGTGTTGAAATGACTAAGAAAAACATTACAAATTTTTTAATGTAAATATGTTACTGTACGCTTAAATACCTAAATGTAACTAATATTATATATTAGTATTATATTGACTTCTTTCGCCGTATTACAGTATTTTTTGAAGTTCTTTATTACAGCTTTAATGAGTTATATGTCTTAATTTTTAAAATAATCTTTAATATTATAATCATAAAAAAGTTAATTTATTGTTTATAAGAATTATTTGTTGAATAGATACGGCTTTCTAAAAGCAAAATTTTGATTACAGATTTGCGGAAACAGTGAATGTAAAATTTACGAAAATAATCGGATTTCAGTTTTTATCAAGTATGATGATAATGTGTTCAAATTTGTATCAAGTTGCTAAGGCAACTTTAAATTCAGATCATATTTCATTAATTATGTTTACATGTTGCATGTTAACGGAAATATTCATTTATTGCTGGTTTGGAAACCAAGTTAAATTAAAGGTACATCTAATGAAATTGGATATTAGAAACGCGCAGATATGATACTTCATATGTACATTGTTTTTTTTGCAGAGTCTTGAATTAACAGATAGTATTTTTCAAATGAATTGGCCAATCTTGGATAACAGTGTCAAAAAGAGCTTATTATTGATTATGAAACGTGCAATGATACCCATTGAAATTTCTACAGTATATATTTTGACAATGAACTTGGATTCTTTTGTAATGGTCAGTATAAAAATATTTGTTTTAATGTATATAAAATTTTAAAATAATTTATGTAATATATATACATATATATCAGGGGGGAGGGCCCCGTTTGCCTACAAATTGATTGTCTATAGCACCTTTTGCCTATATCTCAATTGCCTAAAAATCGATTGCCTACATGTGTTATTGCCTACAGCTCGATTACCTACATGCACTTTTGCGCACAAATAAAAATTTTAGAAACGGAGTTATTTTTGCATGTACTATTGCCTACATGTATTATTGCCTATAAGAATTATTGCCTACATGTATTATCGCCTACAAGTATTATGGCCTACAGATCGATTGCCTACATACACTTTTGCACACAAATGCAAATTTTAGAAACGGAGTTACTTTTGCCTACATGTATTATTAGCTACACGTATTATTGCCTACAAGTATTATTGCTTACAGCTCGATTGCCTATATACATTATTGCCTACAGCTCACAACCTTCCACGCGAAATGAGGGCTACCTCACATCAACAAATGGTTTGGCTATGGTTAGATTTTTTTGGAAAAATATTCCAAGCGGACACTGTCTACGTTGACATCCCACTGTTCACATGACAGATTTCCTAAAAATATAAATTATTTTCTTAATGAACTTTAATTTTATATTTGTGCGCCAAAGTGCTTGTAGGCAATCTAGCTGTAGACAATAATACATGTAGGCAATCGAACTGAAGGCAATAATACATGTAGGTAATCGAGCTGTAGGCAATAATACATGTAGGCAAAAGTAACTCTGCTTCTAAAAACTTTATTTGTGCGCAAAAGTGCATGTAGGCAATAGAGCTGTAGGCAATAATACTTATAGGCAATAATACATGTAGGCAATAATACATGTGGCAAAAGTAACTCCGTTTCTAAAATTTTTATTTGTATGCAAAAGTGTATGTAGGCAATTTATCTGTAGATAATAATACTTATAGGCAATAATACATATAGGCAATAATTCATGTAGGCAATAATACATGTAGGCAAAAGTAACTCCATTTCTAAAATTTTTATTTGTGCGCAAAAGTGCATGTATGCAATCGAGCTGTAGGCAATAACACATATAGGCAATCGATTTGTAGGCAAATGAGATGTAGGCAAAAGGTGCTGTAAGCAATCAATTTGTAGGCAAAAGGAGCCTTCTCATATCAGGGTATAATAAAATTTTAATGCTACACTACTTACATTTTACAATTATATTTAATCTAAAAAAAATTATAGCAACAAATAAACCTATTATTTTTTTGAACTTTTTTACGTAGATAATTATTATGTATATGTATGTATACATATATATTAACGTGTCTATAATAATCTTAAATGTCTTCTATTATTTCAGTTTATTAAAACGTCATACTCTATTTATAATTTATTAACGCAAGTGTAAAAGTAATAAAAACAGAAAGATATAAATAAAGTATTTTGTGTATTAGCTGCATGTAATCATTATAATAATATATATTGTGATAAAATGTTTATTATTGTCAATAATCATTTTGATGTTCACTCTGTTTATTAGCAATAATTGTAAAAAATATACATATATATATATGACATTGTCTTTTATATTTTGAAAGTATTTTTACATATATTACTAAAAAATATACATAAATATTGTAATAAAATTTAAATTTGATATTGTCACACTCTTTGTACTTAAAATGTACAAATTTTATATTTACATATTACTGTAATCGGATTTGAAATATGTAATACCTCATAAACATATATATAGATTTTACTTCAATATCTTTGTGCGGAGTGGCTAGAAATCTGTATCGCGCAACGCTTGTGTCATTTGCAAATCGCAACTGAAGAATTGGGGCAAAACGGGATATTCCATTTTGCCCCATTCTACTTTGCCCCAATTGTTAATATTACAATTATGTTGTTTTATTGAACACTCAGTTGATTTATAACAACAATCTAATTGCATTAAAATGAAGCTGAGACTATATTTAATTATTTAGAGTAGAAAGTACTGAATTTAATATAGATACTTATTTTCATGATATATACAATTCATAATATATAAATATACAAAGCGAATATTACAAATCGATATTGTGCATCACTACGTTGTATGTTATCACGTCACTCAAAAAATGGCATCTATCGCCTGCAACGTGTTCTTCGGGACATAAAACATAATTTATCACAATTGGATATCGTAACAAGCAGGTTAAAAAATGACAGTATTCCGATTTACTTTGCTATTTCGCTTTGCTCCAATCTCCCCTAATATCAAATGAAATATTCTATCTTCAATGTATTGGGATACGATATATGTATATTCAAGTATTGCAAGATATTATTTACATCTCATATCTTATTAATGTACTTATACAGAATTTACTCTCCTTTCTTTACTGAGAATTAGAATTTTTTTCCTCTATATAGGTATAACATATAAAATAGTTGATCTCTTTTGTATAAAAAAAATTGCATATATAAATAATTCCTCATGCTATTTCGCATAAATATCACTTTAAAAAGAATTGCTAAAAATTTGGTATTATAAAGGTAAAGTTATTAAATATGTATGAAGAGAGAGAATATACTGTCTATTGTCAAAGAATCGTGTCACATGTCTATAGACGTTCCTAAGTGCACTATCTTGAAATTATGTTCCTGCTTTCACTTCTCGTGCAATATAGAATCTATCAAGTTAAAGTTATCTTAAAAATAATAAGTATTGTTTAAAAATTATTGATAAAAAAGCTCGTAACATACGTTACACAACAAACTCGTTTTTTACAAGCATTTTTTTAATTTGAACAAAGGATAGAAATGCATATCTTAAAGTTGACATTTTTTATCGTTACGTTTGTTGGGTGCTTTCGACCGCTTTCGTGGACATCGCTATTTATGCGTGTTATTTACAATCTCTACAGACTATTTATAATTACCATTTTATATATTTTTGCTTTTTTACAATTTATGGATATTATGATAAACGTCGATAATCCCGACGACTTTACTAACATTTTATATATGGCGTTAAATGTGTCTGTTTCTGGTTTTAAATTACTGATAATGTGGCTAAATTATAACAATGTTACGACATTAATTACTGCACTTAACGAAGAACCATTTAAACCGTTAGATCCAAGTGAATTGGAAATTCGTCAAAAATTTGATAAAATAATACGGTAAATATTTATACATTTATATATACATATTTATGTATACCAACCTTTATTTAACAATTATTTTCTTTTGGATATCAACTTCTAGGTCTAACACATTACGTTACTCAGTTTTGATTGCGTCATCATGGACATTCATGAGTTTGATGTCGTTGCTCACAGACTTTAAACACAGAAAGTTAACATATAGAGAATGGGTACCGTACGATTATTCGTCTTACATGATGTTTTGTGTTACGTATGTTCACCAAATTCTGAGCACGTTTTATTGTGCTAGCGTGAATGTCGCCTGTGATACCCTCATATGTGGTTTCTTAATGCATGTATATTGTCAAATTGAAATCTTGGAATATCGCTTGAAGAAGATTTTAAGCGATCAAAGCATTTTGGACTACTGCGTACGCCATCATAACAGTATATTTCAGTTAGTCATCCTAATAATATATTTTAAAAACCGTTATACATAGTTCAGGATTTCAGTGATATTAATTTACACCGAAAAAATAAAAAAATTGTATACTTGAAAGATGTACTTAATATTTCCTCTTAACAAGTATAAGAATATTTTCTATTAAATTAATAATATATTCTTGATTTGTAAAAGCGATCATCGCTACACGCGCGCTTTACACAGTTTTTGTTAATGTCCCCGTTAAAATTATGCAACCTTTGTCTGAAACATTTTTCTCTAAAATGTATTGTTCAAAAGATATTTGAGATCATATTTAAAACAGGATATTCTATACGTTCTTATATTAAGAATATGATAATTTAGATGACTTCCTTCTTAAATTAAAAGGATCGTTTAGGTGCTTATTTTTAGAGGAAAACATACTATACATAAGTAGGATATTCTTAAGTTGAGAATACAACTTTTTCGGTGCATAATTTAATGACTTAATTACAGAATTAAAAGGAACAATGATATATATTAAATTTTCTTATCTACGACCGTTAAAAAATCACAAATTTTAAGTCAAGATAATTAAATAGTACAACTTATTCTTTATTTTTCCTTTTATATTTAAATAATTCATATATATTTATTTTTATTATTATGTTGTTAAAGTCCAATCGGCATCATTAAGTTTTTTAAACTATAATTACTATACACAATGTATGTATAGTTTTTCAAAAGTTAGTTTATCATGCTTTTAGTTTGATACATATAATTATCATTATGTTACTAAATTAAAAAACTTGATTGTGCAGATTTGCGTGTTCCGTAAATGCAAAATTTTCGCAAATAATCGGATTACAGTTTATAATAAGCACATTGATAATATGCTCTAATTTGTATCAACTGAGCCAATCGTCATTGAACGCAGATAGTATTGGATTAATTGGATTCACGTGCTGCATGTTAACAGAAATATTTCTTTATTGTTGGTTTGGACACAAAATAAAATCAAAGGTATATCTGATTAACGAAGGAAACTAATTAAGAATAATTTTTTGTACAAAAGATATTTTGTATAAGAAATTGAATTAATCATCTCGTCATACATGTCACTGTTATGTTATCCGTAAAAATTATATAACATTAAGTATTATTAAATAAAATAAAAATATTTTTAACTATAACATATGTCTATAAGTATTTAGAAACAATATTTTACTTATATAATCAAAACGCTCAACATTAAACAAATATTATTTCACATATTAATTTATAGAGCGTTCAAGTGGCAGATAGCATTTTCCAAATAAAATGGCCATTGCTGAATAATAACGTCAAAAGTAATCTCCTAATAATTATGAAACGCGCTGCAGTACCTATCGAATTTACCACTGCACATATCATCAGTTTGAATTTGGAATCTTTTGTGGCGGTGAGTATATTAATTTTATATAGTACCTATCGTTGAATATGAATGAAGCATTACTAAGATTTTTATTATGTTTATAACTATTTTAGCTGCTCAAAACATCGTACTCCGCTTACAGTTTGTTAGTACAAGTACAGGAAAAGTAATATAAATGTAACGTGTTCTGGCAATTGCAATATAGTTGCAATATGTGTATATATATATAGCGGTGTCAGCAATAGTTAACGAAATATTAATTTATACTAAAAATTGCAAAATAATGGTCTTGAATTATTTTTTACTCAAATACTATCAACTTTACAGAAAAACTGCAAGAAACAAAAATCATTTATTTTCTTCTCATAAAGTTTTGAGAATTTTTTCAGAATTTTTTATTAACTTTTTAGTACTGCATTTTCTTATTTTTACCAACATGAGAAAATACGGTATTAAAAAATTCTGAAAAAATTCTCAGAAATTTATGAGAAGAAAATAAATGATTTTTGTCTCTTGCAGTTTTTCTGTAAAGTTGGTAGTATTTGAGTAAAAAATTATTCAAGACCAATATTTTGCAATATTTAGCAATTAATATCTCATTAACTATTGCTGACACAGCAAAATGGTACAGGACTTTTCGACTCAGTATAGTCTGTTCTAACCACGCACGAAACATTTGGTGGTAATTTCCAGACATCCTGTATATCATATATATATATATATATACAAACATCCTGTATTATATATATATATCTCTGTAATAAAACGCAATAAAAATAAATCATTATGTTATTGATAGCAGATCTAGTATCTATTACATTTTCATTTCCATAAAATGTATATTCGTCAATAATATTTCTTACTTAAAATGTCATTTTAAATAGAATATTGTAATGCAGCAAAATATTATTATATAATTAAACATATAGTAATTTATTAATAAGAGTATTAATACACTTATATAAAAATACGATTTATATATTAAGTCAATATTTAATTAGAAATAAAAAAAATTTTAATATAAAATAAGAGAAAAAAATCCTTTTATAATTTTCATATTTTCTTGTTATATTTTTATTTTCCTGGAAAATAAAGATTATGAAACTATTAATATTTTCTTGTTATATTTTTATTTTGCTGGAAAATAAAGATTATGAAAGTATTAGACAATTCAAAATCTAACATTGTGATTAGCTACAGAGGAAATTCAAGAATGATATAAAAAAAATAAGGTAGTGACTCTTATATTATTCTTATAATATGTTCTAGCTTCTAGACATTACTGTTGCTTACATCTCAGCTCACTCTGGCTGTGTTCCAAAATTTGCCAGTGCTTGCAATGTAAACTACAGATTTTCAGTAGTGGCAATAAATGTTGGAACACTGCCTTTGTGATTTCAAAACTCTATTTTCATTTGTATATGTCGATACTTGTTGGACAATATGGGTTTACATACACAGATTCATATAACTTATCATGCAACAAAATTTAACTTTATCTTGCTTCTTTGATTTCTGTGTACTAATACACTTGAAATGATTCTCATTATAACTTTCTCCATTTTTTATGATCTACGTAAGAAGTTATTCATAAAATGGTGGTATTCTAACACGGAATTATTATAGATATTATGATAACAAGAACAGAATACCCTATAATGAGCATATTACAATAAATACATTTCATAAAGGTAAAATGAATTTAGTTCTCAAGAATCGAAAATATTATTGTATATAACGACGGGCAATAAAAAAATATAGTAATCAACATACATGGATAAGAAAGTTACATTAAAATATGTGAAAATTGTCATAATAAAGTTGGAAGAGATGTGTTCTTTCAAAATGTTTTTCACTATTGTCTCGCAGTATTATTTCTGAAAATAGACATTAAGTAATTCTGTAATAAAAATTATATATTAAAAAATTATATTTTACAAAAATTTGACACATGTACATATTGTTATCCAATATAGTTAAAATATAAAAAAAATAAATATTACGAAAAATTTCTAAAATCATAAAGTTTTATAGTAGTATAACTAATTTGTCATCAAACATGCGATAAAGTATTAGCTTTTAAAGTATTTAAGCAAATATATCTCGCAAATTATTAAAAAATTTTGTAATTGTATGTTACGTATAAAAATAAAAAAATTCTAGTATTTTCTGGTGATATGTACTTAACATTCTTACTATTACAATGTTTTACATTCATACATCTATAAATTCAATTTGATCTTCAACATTACAAATGAATTATTTTCATAGAACTTTAGTCATCTATTTTTTGACAAAAACAATATTAATAAATCAACTAAAGAAGCATTGAACATTGTTCAAAATTATTATATGCAGTGAATATTTAGATATTTGTAATGTAAAAAGGATTATATTATATGTCATACTTACTACATAAAACTTGCATAAGTTTTAATAAACTGTAACAAAAATCATGACTTTAAACCTTTGTTTTATATTCAATCAAAAATATAAAAAATTCATCTGAAAGAGAGTGCACGATATCACAATATCATATAAATAGTTAGAACGTAGATACTATGACAGGAAATGTGATGACAGCTTGTAACTGAGGTTATGGATGGCATTAATGTTATAAGCCTTGTGTCCACGATGCTAGAAATCGGTCCAAGATCTCGGACAGAGAAAAAATTAACAAATCACAATAGATACTATGACAGGAAATGTGATGATAATAGCTTGTAACTGAGGTTATGGATGGCATTAATGTTTTACACAGGTAAGCTATAGTCGCTGCTCAACTAATATTTAAAGAATTTGTTTTTTCATATACCGTCATTGTGTATCATAGAACAATATAATGGTATTACCGATGGTGTGTTATAAATAAGATATTTTACAATAAAGAATACAACAAAGGAACTGTATCAAGTACCTCGGAGATAGTTTATAGCTACTACTCTACTGATGACAACTTAAAGAATTTATTTTTCTATATATTTCAGCTTGTGTATATCTGACTTCTTTTATACAGGATCGTCTCTGCAAAAGTAATGATATATTACGCAATTTCATAAAGATATTATTTCGGAAGAATGTCATTTCTCAATTCTCGGGAATATTATTTCACGAGAGGACTGTTGCAAGTCTGTTATTATGATAATAATATAGATACCTTATATGAAGAGGGAAGTTGGGCGAAATGTCGTTATCAAATTGAGAGACTATAGACGTTATGAGATTGTTTCTTTGTAATGCCATTTGACTTGTCACACAACGTGCAGCGAATATTCGATTAAAACTTGTGAAGTATTCAACGAATTGTTCAAACAAGTTAATCAAAATTTTCGTAAGTTTAATGTATAAAAAAAATGAAATATTTACATAAGTATAATAATAGTATCATAAAATATAATAATATAATAATATAATAATGATGATATCATAGTAATTCTATTGTTATATGTTAAAGTAATTCTATTGTAATTATAATAGGCTTTTATTTATTATATTATCATTAAATTTTTTTATTTTTGTATCTAATTATTAACATACATAAAGACAATTAATTAGCGATCATTTAGGGAAATACGAGATCAAATATTTAAAAACAATTAATTTCGATTTACTAATTACCACTCATTAGCACATTATCATAATAGTCAAAATTTGTAGTAAATAAGTGCATATACATTAATTAAAACAGTGATTAATGTTGGGCAAGTGGATGTTGAAAAGTGATGTTGGAAAGAGAAGCGAAATGCCTGTCTTGAAATTTACGCTCACGGTTTTAGCGGTCGCAGGATGCTGGCGACCAACATCGTGGACATCATTGTTTAGAAACATAATATATAACGCTTATACAGCGTCAATGATTATAACATTATACACCTTTGCAATGACTCAAATTATGGAGTTGATATTGAGAGCCAACGATGCTGACACAATTGGCGACGCCTTGTTCAATGCTGTGATTTCGCTTCTGGCATGCTACAAGGCAATTGTTGTACGGATAAATCACGATAGTATTACAATGTTAATCGGTAATCTTGTCGAGAAGCCATTTAAACCAGTAGATTTGAGCGAAAACATGATTCGGGAGAAGTTTGACAAGAGAATAACGTTAGTTTCTATCAATATTTTATAACTAAGTTATATTAAAACTGCATAAATTATATTATATTGTGTATATAAATGATTTTATAGGGATAATACATTATATTATTTAATTCTCGTCTTGATAACTGTCACCTACATGATCTTGCTTTCGATATTTACGAATTTTAAGAATGGAACATTAATATACAGAGCATGGTTACCATTCGACAGCTCAATATCCGCACTATTTTATCTAGCATACGCTCATCAGATATTCTCTCTAATATTAATCGGACTTATACATCCCACATGTGACAATTTAATTTGCGGATTATTGCTACACATCTGCTGCCAAATCGAGATTTTAGAATATCGTTTGTCGAATATTGCGAATGACCAAGAAAATTTGCGCAATTGCGTACGCCATCACATATATATATTTGAGTAAGTTATATACATATTTACATACAAATGTATTTGAGTTATTTTTCTAACGTAAAATGTTATTTATATTTCTTTAAGATCAGTATACTCTTATTGAATTTTGCCATTTTTCTGGTAACAATCTTTCAATGATATTTTATTCGACAGTTAAGATTTTTCAACCATCTAGGGGTGAAAATTGCACATTTAAAATTAAATTAGGAATAAATTCGGAATTTGGGCAAATTAGTTACACTTAAGAACTGAAGATAGCATTATTGAATGCTGGAATAAATGGTATTTCGAACTGTCAGAAAGGCTATACGTCGATATATATCGGCAGTATAAATATCAATTTATTTTTCATTTACGAATTGAATAACCCATTAATGCTTCACATATTTTTTACAGTTACTTTTCATTTCTTTTGATATACGTATACCTAGAGATATAGAAGGAAAATAAATATTGAAAAAATTCGGTATTTTAAAGAATTAAAAATTTCCATCAAATCTCTAGATACGTGTATATTTGTTCAGATCTCTTTTAGGACTTGCGAAAATAATTAATATTCTCTCTCTTATTAAAAAATAATATATTAATTTCTATTTATATCATGACTATGTATTAGAAACATTATATTTAAATGAATATTTTTAAAACTATTTTAGTGTCTTTGATACAAAAAAGTGCAGAATATGCATATTATCAACATAAACTAGTTTTCTTCAAGAATAATAGAAGTTGTTAAATGGAATTAGAAGTATAAGATATTTTTCATGTTAAAATATTAAACTACATAACAATATAAATTCATTAATTGTATTAAATTAAATAGTCTTAATAAAATCTGTAGATGAATTGAAAACGTTCTCTGTAATTTTAGATACGCATTTGTATTAAACGATAAATTTGGTAAAATAATTCCTGGTGAGTTCTTAATGATCACAGTGGTAATGTGCTACAATTTAGTTCATATGGCTTTTAGAGCGTCCAATGCCGTTGCTTATACACAAGATATTATGGTTATAGCTACCACTCTAGCTCCAATTTTTTATTATTGTTGGTTTGGCAACGAAATCAAGCTCAAAATATAAGATATTTTTCATGTTAAAATATTAAACTACATAACAATAATAAATTCATTAATTGTATTAGATAGTCTTAATAAAATTTGTAGATGAATTGTCAACGTTCTCTGTAATTTTAGGTACGCGTATATATTAAACGATAAATTTGGCAAAATAATTCCTAGTGAGTTCTTAATGATCACAGTGGTAATGTGCTACAATTTAATTCATATGGCTTTTAGAGTGTCCAATTCCATTTCTTATATACTAGATATTATGTTTATAGCTACCACTCTAGCTCCAATTTTTTATTATTGTTGGTTTGGCAACGAAATCAAGCTCAAGGTAGTTCTAGTAACTAGTATATTAATAAATTATAATTTCATAATTCACAATTATTTAAAAAAAAAATAAAGTTGCGAAATTGACATTATATCTATCGCTACAAAAACAAGAAAATATACATACACACAAAGTATATATACATCTACCTGTATCATTAGCCATATTTACAAGCACATTAAATTATACGGTTAATAAAACATTCTTCTATACATAAATATACATATGCATATGTATATGCGAGTATATATATTTTATGTAAAGAGTATATTATGTATAAAGTTGCATATACCAATATATTGTATATAATATATTTATATGTACAATATAGGTAATTTTATTATAACTTTATTTATAGAGCCTTCAATTATCGGATAGTATTTACAATATGGAATGGACTATGTTCAGCAATAATATGAAGAAAGGGCTCTTAATGATCATGAATCGTGCTACGATACCAATTGAATTTACCAGCGCAGATATTTTGCCTGTGAATCTTGACTCTTTCCTAAAGGTGTGTATGAAGAATTTATTCTTTGAATGTAATAAACAAATAATTTGCTGAATAAATTTGTCATTAATTATATAAGTGTTTAGGTGCTTAAAACGTCATATTCTCTTTTTAATGTAATGATACAGTCGCAGGAACAGTAAAATAGCATAAAATTAAAAATTATTAATAATAAATATGTATTGAATTTATTATACATTATTGCACATCAAGGATGAGTGTAATTAATTAATTAATGCTAATGACAAATTTTTGAAAGAAAATATCATAAAATTGTAAAAGTACATTAAATAATAGTTAATACATTAGTAGGTAGAGAGAGAGAGAGAGAGAGAGAGAGAAACGCGAGCACGCGCGATGGAATGAACTAAAATAAATAAATTACGGAAAATGATTATTTACAATAAAGTTATACAAATACAACTATTGTAAACGTTTGTGTCTCTATGTTTGTGACGTTTAGTTTTATCTTTTTTCTTATGCATAATAGACCAATATCTATTTAGACAACAAAAAATCCAAATCAAGACTTAAAACATATGTTAATTACATATATATAATAACGTGTACATATGTAATATATTATATTAATAGTTATTACATAAATAACACGCATGCAGACGAGACATAAGATGCCTTATGTCTCGTTTTAGCATGTGTATATTGCGTGTTGTCTGTGTAACTATTAATAAAACATGTTATACATATGTAATTAACGTTTTGTCTAATGTCTTTGAAATATTCAATTGCATTTTTAATGTTACACTTACTTGATACTCTTTGGAAAAATGTTTTGATATATTTTTACATAAGATTAAATCACATTATCGTTACGTTTGTTGGATGCTTTCGACCGCTTTCGTGGACATCGCTATTTATGCATGTTATTTACAATCTCTACAGACTATTTATATAATTACCATTTTATATATTTTTGCTTTTTTACAATATATGGACATTATGACAAACGTCGATAATCCCGACGACTTTACTAACATTTTATATATGGCGTTAAATGTGTCCGTGTCTGGTTTTAAATTACTGATAATGTGGCTAAATTATAACAATGTTACGACATTAATTACTGCACTTAACGAAGAACCATTTAAACCGTTAGATCCAAGCGAATTGAAAATTCGTCAAAAATTTAATAAAATTACGGTAAATATTTATACTTTTATATATACGTATTTATGTATACCAACCTTTATTTAACAATTGTTTGAAGAGAAAGTTGGAAGAGATGTATTCTTTCAAAATGTTTTTCTCTATTGTCTCGTAGTGTTATTTTTGAAAATAGACATTAAGTAATTCTGTAATAAAAATGATGTTTTACAAAATTATATTTTACATAAATTTGATACATGTACATATTGTTATCCAATATAGTTAAAATATAAAAAAAATAAATATTACGAAAAATTTCTAAAATCATAAAGTTTTATAGTAGTATAACTAATTTGTCATCAAACATGCGATAAAGTATTAGCTTTTAAAGTATTTAAGCAAATATATCTCGCAAATTATTAAAAAATTTTGTAATTGTATGTTACGTATAAAAATAAAAAAATTCTAGTGATATGTATTTAACATTCTTACTATTGCAATGTTTTACATTCATACATCTATAAATTCAATTTGATCTTCAACATTATAAATGAATTATTTTCACAGAACTTTAGTCATCTATATTTTGACGCACAAAAGAACATTAATAAATCAACTAAAGAAGCATTGAACACTGTTCAAAATTATCATATGTAGTGAATATTTAGATATATGTAATTTAAAAAGCATTATATTATATATTACACTTACTACATAAAACTTGCATAAGTTTTAATAAACCGTAACAAAAAAAAATCATGACTTTAAGCGTTTTTTTTTATGTTCAATGAAAAATATAAAAAATTCATCTGAAAGAGAGTGCACGATATCACAATATCATATAAATAGTTAGAACGTAGATACTATGACAGGAAATGTGATGACAATAGCTTGTAACTGAGTTTACGGATGGCATTAATGTTTTACACAGGTAAGCTATAGTCGCTGCTCAACTAATATTTAAAGAATTTGTTTTTTCACATACTTTCATTGTATCATAGAACAATATAATGGTATTACCGATGGTGTGTTATAAATAAGATATTTTACAATAAAGAATACAACAAAGGAACTGTCAAGTACCTCGGAGATAATTTATAGCTACTGCTCTATTGATGACAATTTAAAGAATTTATTTTTCTATATATTTCGGCTTGTGTATATCTGACTTCTTTTATACAGGATTGTCCGCGATTGTCTCTGCAAAAATAATGATATATTACGCAATTTCGTAAAGATATTATTTCGGAAGAATGTTATTTCTCAATTCTCGGGAATATTATTTCACAAGAGGACTGTTGCATGTCTGTTATTATGATAATAATATAGATACCTTATATGAAGAGGGAAGTTGGGCGAAATGTCGTTATCAAATTGAGAGACTATAGACGTTATGAGATTGTTTCTTTGTAATGCCATTTGACTTGTCACACAACGTGCAGCGAATATTCGATTAAAACTTGTGAAGTATTCAACGAATTGTTCAAACAAGTTAATCAAAATTTTCGTAAGTTTAATGTATAAAAAAAATGAAATATTTACATAAGTATAATAATAGTATCATAAAATATAATAATATAATAATATAATAATGATGATATCATAATAATTCTATTGTTATATATTACAGTAATTCTATTGTAATTATAATAGGCTTTTATTTATTATATTATTATTAAATTTTTTTATTTTTGTATCTAATTATTAACATACATAAAGACAATTAATTAGCGATCATTTAGGGAAATACGAGATCAAATATTTAAAAACAATTAATTTCGATTTACTAATTACCACTCATTAGCACATTATCATAATAGTCAAAATTTGTAGTAAATAAGTGCATATACATTAATTAAAACAGTGATTAATGTTGGGCAAGTGGATGTTGAAAAGTGATGTTGGAAAGAGAAGCGAAATGCCTGTCTTGAAATTTACGCTCACGGTTTTAGCGGTCGCAGGATGCTGGCGACCAACATCGTGGATATCGCTGTTTAGACACATAATATATAACGCTTATACAGCGTCAATGATTATAACATTATACACCTTTGCAATGACTCAAATTATGGAGTTGATATTGAGAGCCGACAACGCTGACACAATTGGCGACACCTTGTTCAATGCTGTGATTTCGCTTCTGGCATGCTACAAGGCAATTGTTGTACGGATAAATCACGATAGTATTACAATGTTAATTGATAATCTTGTCGAGAAGCCATTTAAACCAGTAGATCTGAGCGAAAACATGATTCGGGAGAAGTTTGACAAAAAAATAACGTAAGTTTCTTTCAGTATTTTATATCTAAGTTATATTAAAACTGTTTAAATTATATTACATTGTATATATAAATGATTTTATAGGAATAATACATTATATTATTTAATTCTCGTCTCGATAACTGCCATCTATATGATCTTGCTTTCGATATTTACGAATTTCAAGAATGGAACTTTAATGTACAAAGCATGGTTACCATTCGACATCTCAATATCCGCACTATTTTATCTAGCATACGCTCATCAGATATTCTCTCTAATATTAATCGGACTTATACATCCCACATGTGACAATTTAATTTGCGGATTATTGCTACACATCTGCTGCCAAATCGAGATTTTAGAATATCGTTTGTCGAATATTGCGAATGACCAAGAAAATTTGCGCAATTGCGTACGCCATCACATATATATATTTGAGTAAGTTATATACATATTTACATACAAATGTATTTGAGTTATTTTTCTAACGTAAAATGTTATTTATATTTCTTTAAGATCAATATGCTCTTATTGAAATTTTTTATTTTTCTGGTGACAATAAGAAAATAATCAATCTTTCAATAATTTTTTATTCGACAATTAAGATTTTTCAACCATCTAGGGGTGAAAATTGCACATTTAAAATTAACTTAGGAATAAATTCGAAAATTGGGCAAATTAGTTACACTTAAAAACTGATGATGGAAATATATGTAATATTGAATACTAGGAATAAATGGTATTTCAAACTGTCAGAAAGGCTATACGTCGATATATATCGGCAGTATAAATATCAATTTATTTTTCATTTACGAATTGAATAACCCATTAATGCTTCACATATTTTTTTTACAGTTACTTTTCATTTCTTTTGATATACGTCATACCTAGAGATATAGAAGGAAAATAAATATCGAAAAAATTCAGTATTTTAAAGAATTAAAAAGTTCCATCAAATCTCTAGATACGTGTATATTTGTTCAGATCTCTTTTAGGGGACTTGTGAAAATAATTAATATTCTCTCTTTTGTTAAAAAATAATATATTAATTTCTATTTATATCATGACTATGTATTAGAAACATTATATTTAAATGAATATTTTTAAAACTATTTTAGTGTCTTTGATACAAAAAAGTGCAGAATATGCATATTATCAACATAAACTAGTTTTCTTCAAGAATAATAGAAGTTGTTAAATGGAATTAGAAGTATAAGATATTTTTCATGTTAAAATATTAAACTACATAACAATATAAATTCATTAATTGTATTAAATTAAATAGTCTTAATAAAATCTGTAGATGAATTGAAAACGTTCTCTGTAATTTTAGATACGCATTTGTATTAAACGATAAATTTGGTAAAATAATTCCTGGTGAGTTCTTAATGATCACAGTGGTAATGTGCTACAATTTAGTTCATATGGCTTTTAGAGCGTCCAATGCCGTTGCTTATACACAAGATATTATGGTTATAGCTACCACTCTAGCTCCAATTTTTTATTATTGTTGGTTTGGCAACGAAATCAAGCTCAAGGTAGTTCTAGTAACTAGTATATTAATAAATTATAATTTCATAATTCACAATTATTTAAAAAAAAAATAAAGTTGCGAAATTGACATTATATCTATCGCTACAAAAACAAGAAAATATACATACACACAAAGTATATATACATCTACCTGTATCATTAGCCATATTTACAAGCACATTAAATTATACGGTTAATAAAACATTCTTCTATACATAAATATACATATGCATATGTATATGCGAGTATATATATTTTATGTAAAGAGTATATTATGTATAAAGTTGCATATACCAATATATTGTATATAATATATTTATATGTACAATATAGGTAATTTTATTATAACTTTATTTATAGAGCCTTCAATTATCGGATAGTATTTACAATATGGAATGGACTATGTTCAGCAATAATATGAAGAAAGGGCTCTTAATGATCATGAATCGTGCTACGATACCAATTGAATTTACCAGCGCAGATATTTTGCCTGTGAATCTTGACTCTTTCCTAAAGGTGTGTATGAAGAATTTATTCTTTGAATGTAATAAACAAATAATTTGCTGAATAAATTTGTCATTAATTATATAAGTGTTTAGGTGCTTAAAACGTCATATTCTCTTTTTAATGTAATGGTGCAGTCGCAGAAACAGTAAAATAGCACAAAATTAAAAATTATTAATAATAAATATATATTGAATTTATTATATATTATTGATATATCAAGGATGATAGTAATTAATTAGGTAATGCTAATTTTTGAAAGAAAATATCATAAAATTGTAAAAGTACATTAAATAATAGTTAATACATTATAGTAGAGAAACGCGAGCACGCGGGATAAAATATGGCCTAAATATAAATAAATAACGGAAAATGATTATTTACAATAAAGTTATACAAATACAACTATTGCAAACGTTTGTGTCTCTGTGTTTGTGACGTTTAGTTTCATCTTTTTTCTTACGCATAATTGACCAATATCTATTTAGACAACAAAAAATCCAAATCAAGACTTAAAACATGTATTAATTACATATGTATAATAATATGTACATATGTAATATATTATATTAATAGTTATTACACAGATAACACGTATGAACACGAGACATAAGATGCCTTATGTCTCGTTTTTAGCATGCGTATATTGCGGTGTTGTCTGTGTAATTATTAATAAAACATGTTATATACATATGTAATTAACCTTTTGTCTAATGTCCTTGAAATATTAAATTGCATTTTTAATGTTACACTTATTCGATACCCTTTGGAAAAATGTTGTGATATATTTTTACGTAATATTAAATCACATTATTTTTGACAAGGAGTTTCAACAGGAATCATTAACTCGATTAAATATGCAAATATGTAAATTATATATATACTAATTATAATGTTTAAATGAAAAGGTTCAGCTTTGGTATAACGAGCAACCTTGATATTATTTGAATAGATCCGTGCTTAGAAACGAGGTAATATTTTCTCATTTATGTAGGACGCGGTAGATACATAAATCGATGTAAAAAAGTGCTTAATGACAATTTAAGAATGAATAGGAATGTCTTATGTAGGGTATATTATCCGTGGTATTATCTGTTTTATTAACATTTTACCCAGGCATGTCAGAGTTCTTGATTCATTAAGTATTATATATACGAAGAATTCTTTCTGGTATCGTAATAAAATATTTTATAATATTATTAATTAATGCATGTATATTAAAGCGACATGTAAGTGTAATCAGAGAAATAATTCGTAACACACATCGATTTACTAATAAGAATATAAAGATATCATTTATGTTTTCATTCGTATAACTGCGTACCGTTGTTCTACGAAATTATGGCAGATATAGTACGCAATTTTGTCATAAAGATTATTTATCATCAAATGACATTATATGTAGGAGTTATAGGCTGGTATTCATAGTTGATTCTCATATTTAAAACTGTCTTAAATATAGTCTTAAGTCATGAACCAATCAGAGCCGATATCATTTTATTAGATGAATTGATAAAATGTCGTTGCAGTTCACGTTAACAATAAGCATACATTAACAGCTACGATTATCTTAATATATATAAAAAACTTAATATCGTAGAAATTATTGTATCACTGTTAAACTAGCTTCTATAATTCACTTTCTCTCCGATGTTTGTTATGCTATGAATAGAAATCGAAACGAGGTACGTGATGTCAAGCATTGGACAGTAACAGTAATCAAAAATACATTTTTAATCAAAAATACAAGAAGTAACGAATATTTCATAGGGATCCCTTACACCTGGTGTTCTATATTGATGAACCTTTAAAAGCCATATTGCTTTTATCTTGTGGAAATGTTATTTACCCCATCGCGTGACAAATATTGTAGCTTATCTATATCTTGCCTCATGAAAATAATATTCCGCGCCGTCGCAAAATCGGTATTATGGTAATAACAGAGACATATAAAAAGGGGTGTGGTGAACAAGTACTCTACAATATCAAAGTAGTGTCGCGAAGCTATAGACGTTCTGGGTGTACTCCGATCTCTTGTAAAATTTGTCTGTTGCTATTTGAAGTGAATATAATGTAACCATACAATTTTTTTACAAACCGTTTAAATAGTATTATTTGTTAAGATATTATTTGTTAAGATATTTGCAATATATTTTTTATCTGATATGTCAAGTGAGAATTGATCATTTTGTAAGTATAACAAATATTATATGAATTTATAAGTTTTATATATAATATTACAAAATAGAATTGTATAATTATATTATGTTTACTTTAAAATTATAGCTTTTTTATATTATATATATCGAAATTTGGTTTATTTAAAAACAATTTATTAGTAGAAATGTTTTTACTTGCACAATGTTAATGACAATTGAACAATTAAGTAATTCAATTATGAAGTCTATTTAAGTAAAATTAAGCTTTATATTAAATATATGTCAGACAAATTTTATTTTTTATTTTTTTTATTTTAAATGTATATGATATTGGACGTATAAATAGAGATAAATATAGATATAATACTATGAGTAATTCACGTATAGGCAAAATTAAATTTTAAAAAATTTGAATGATCGTGCTGGAATTTACACTTATACTCTGCGCAGTCAGCGGATGCTGGCAGCCGCTTACATGGACGTCGCTATTTAAATATATGATGTATAACAGTTATAGAATATTGTTAATTTGTCTGTTATGTACATTTACAATATCGCAAGTTGTGAATATTATACTAAATATTAACAACTTTGACGAAATAAGCGATAATATATATATGACGTTGACGGTATTCATCGCAACTTATAAAATAATTACTATATGGATAATTAAGGAACACGTCATAACGATAATCAGTGTTCTTACGGAGGAGCCTTTCAAACCGTCGGAATCGTGTGAGGTAATAATTCGACAAAAATATGACAAAACGATAAAGTAAGTATTATTCTCGAATTACACAAGTAAATTCATTAGTCATAATTTAATAATCAGTTTCTGAATAATCAGAATATTTTAACTCCATTATTGCATTGTGTTATTAAATACATTATAGCAATATAGAATGTATTAATATTTTAAATATAAAAATTATTTAATTTTAAGACAATGTACATATATAGTGTTTAGCACAATATGATTATTTTCTGAACATAATTATTGAATGTTTTAATTATTATTTGTGTTATTTGTGGAATATTAATGATTTATAATAAATGTGGAATATTGATGATTTATAAGCATTCTTCCAAAGCTTATAAATCATCAATATTCTACAAACAACCCAGATGTAAATAATAATATAATTTAAGAAAAATAGAGCAATAAGAGTATTAAGTAAACTTTTCAAAACAAGTGGATGCAACAATTTTTCATAGCTGAGCATTAGAAAATATTTTTATAAGAAATATATTTTATAGGAAATACGCAGTATGGTATTATGGCCTCGTCCAAGTAACAGTCATATGCATAATTTTAAATGCTATCTTTATGGATTTTATGGAAGGAAACTTGACATACAAAGCATGGGTGCCATTCGACTACACATTACCTATTATATTTTTGTTGATATTTACTCACCAAATGATAGGTATGTCAATCTGTGCGGCTGTAAACGTTGCCTGTGATAGCCTGATAACCGGACTCCTGCAAGAGATCTGCTGTCAGTTCGAGATTCTGGAATACCGATTGACGAAAATCTTACACAAAAAACATGTTCTTCACGATTGTGTATGTCACCACAATCGTATATATGAGTTAGTTTTTAAAACCACTCTGTTATTTCAAAAATTTACAATGTAATCACCCTGCACAAAATTGTTTGTTTGTACATGTATGTTCTTTGGAAATTCTCATCTTAAAATAATTCGGAAATTATTAAATCGTTTATCTAAAAAAGAAAGCTATAATTCGATGAGATTGATAAATGATTTTCAGACAGATTAAAATTTTTTATTTAATCGTAGATATGCTCGTATAGTAAATCGCAGGTTTGGGAAAATAATTGCTCTTCAGTTCGCAGTAAGCATGCTAGTAGTGTGTGCTAATTTATATAAATTGGCTGCTATTTCTCTCTTGATGATTAATGGAAGCCTTGTATCACTAATACTGTATACGGCTTGCATGTTATCACAGATCTTCCTCTATTGTTGGTTTGGAAATGAACTCAAATTAAAAGTATATAATTTATCTACATATATATTATGATCTTATATTTATATATATAAAAAAATAAATTATTTTTTATTCTTTTGTAATTTTTTCTTTTGTAACTACTATAACTTTAGAGTATAAAGATACAAAATTATCAAAATAAAAAAGAAATATTATTACATAATACATGGTTCATCATTTTTAATAATACGCAATGCTTAAAACGTTTACTTACAGAGTACCAAAGTAGCAAACAGTATATACAATATAAAGTGGCAGGAGCTTGATAACAAAAGTAAAAAATTTCTCCTGCTAATTATGAAACGTTCGATGATTCCCATTGAATTTAAGAGCGCGGTTGTCATTACATTAAATCTTGACTCGTTTGTAGCTGTCAGTATCAATTGATAATAAAAAAACGTTTAATTTCTTTTATAAATGTTTTAAATAATATGAAAATTAATACTTTTATAAATGTTTTAAATAATATGAAAATTAATGTGAAAATTAATTTAAATAATATGAAATGCATTAACAATTTTTTTACAGTTACTTAAAACATCATATTCAGCTTACAATATATTAAAACGCGCTCAGCAAGATTGATAAATAGAAATTGTTTTTCATATTCCACGAATCGACATACAAGGTACGTTAAAGATAAATTATATACATATTAGTTAATATCAATGATGTAAACATATCAATAATACTATCTAATTTATTTTTACACAATATATGAAATGTTTGCGGAAGGCTTTATACACGTATTTTATTTGTGGCGTGTAAGAAAAAATATTAAAAAATGAGAAACAAAATTAAAATAATATTACAAGGAATTTATATTAACAGTAAAAATACATATTATATCCAAATGAATAATGTTATAAACTTTTCCGCTATTTCTATTACTCAATTTCTAATATTTCTCCTTGGATTATAAATATTCATAGGCTACATTAAAACTGTTGATTGATATTTTATTGTAATAAATAATATTGCAACTGTAAATGCTTGCAAATAAACATATTGCAATAAAAACATTTTATTATAACTACTGTGAATAACTATTAATATCTTCAGCATTTTTCACATTTAAAAATTAAAGCTATTTCCCTATTCGCATATATGTATAGAAGATGTTTCTAGATAAATGATATTTGAAATAACTGCTAAACATATAATATACAAAGAAAGCATAAATACACACTTTCTTTATAATTTTTTATATAAAATCTGAAAATATACAAAAAAAGTTTCATTTTTTAAATTGTTTAAGTTTATGTTAAAGTTATTTCTTTTTTTTAATGATGCATTATATTTTTATTTTAGTATTATAAAAGCACAAAAAAAACAAATTCAATAATCTCTTCAAATTGACTCTGAATTTGCTTCAATATTCAAAGGGCTTTTGAATCATTCATACTGTTTCTTATATGCAAGATAATTATCAGTTTTTATAACATAGAATGAATGATGTTTAACAACAATAATGTAAAGAAAAGATTTTTAGTGATTATTACTCGTACCTATTTCCAATACCAATCAAATTTATCAGCGCAGATATTATACTAGTAAATCTCGATACTTTCGTAACAGTTGTATGAGAAATTTATTTTTTCTATACAGTAAATAAACAATTCATTAAGTTTGATATTAATTCTATGTTTAGATACTTAAAATGTCATATTTGATTTTTAATGTATTGATGTGTTCGCAGAAACAGTGACGTAGCACAAGATTAAAAAGTGTTATTAATAATAAATATATAGTTTGATTTGTTATACGGAATAAATATATATTAAATTTATATTATTGACACATCGTTGGTAATAGCAATCAGATAATTAAGGTCAATAACAAATTTTCAAGATTAAATATTATAAAATTGTCAAGAAATGTTAAATAATAGTTAATATATTAATAAAAGAATGTGTGCACGCGCGATGGAATAAATCAAAATATAGGTAACTTTTAATATTTTTTAAAATGATTATCTACAATAAAAGTATATAAACATAATCTTACATATTTTTCTCATTGTTTCTTTTGCCATAAATATATAAATAGAATAAAATGCGAATTGATCTTTTGTGCTAACAAGCCTCAAACTTTGGAATGTTTTATTTTTGTATTTTTCTTGATGTTTTATGTATATATATGATTGGATGAATTAATAATTAAGGTGTTGTTGCAATTAATGTTAAGCATGTATTAACACTCACACACTTTTTGCACATCAAAAATTTTCGTACAATATTGTTTTAATTGTTGCAATAACTATCAACATGTTATAAAAAGAGTTTTCGTAGACTATATTACGTCACTGTTAGGTCAGTTTCTATAATTCACTGTCTCTCCGACGTTTATGTTTCACTGGCCATCGCAAATAGAAATCGATATGTAAAATGTAATGACATGTGTAGCACGTGATAGCATGTGAAGCACTGGCTAGCGAAAGTAATAAAAAAATATTTTTTTACCAATGTACATACAATAAGTGACGCATGCATACTTTATAAAAGCAACTTATACTTGGTATTTTACTATTTTATATTGATGAATCTTCGAAGAAAATCTATGTCTCTACTTTGCTTGCTACCTTATGGAAATGTTATTTACAATATTTATTTCATCATATGAAAGAATTGCAGTTTATCAACATTTTGTCTCATGGAAATACATAATATTCCGCTTCGCGCGCCGTTGCAAGATCAGTATTACGATAATAGAGACAGATAAAAAAAGTTTTACGCACGATCAGTAAGTACTGTGTATTATCAGAAAGTGGTATCGAGAGGCTATAAACATTTCGGGTGTATCTCGCTCTCTCGTCGATTTATTCATCCTATTTGACATGTGAATATTTAGTCATATAATTTTTTTCGTTAATTTGTCCACAATTATATAATATCAAATACTTTTTAAGAAATTTACAGCAATATTTTTAATGTGATGTTAAGTAATTAATTGTGAGAATTAATCACTTCCCTAATAACACACTTTATTCAAGATACATCCCGAGGATGTTCTTAAGATGCTCAAAGGACATATGGACGTCCTTTGAACGTCCTCAGGACGTTCCCTGGAGGTCTGTGTTGTTAGGGTTTGTAAGTATAACAAATATTGTAAATTTATACTTTAAAAAATGGAATTATGGAATTATATAATTTATTATGTTTATTTTAAAATTATTTTACATTTTTATAATAATATCGTTCGGTTTATTTGCAAATATTAAGAGAAATTTTTTTACTTAATATCTCAGATTAAATGTTTAAATTAAGGGTGAAGGACAAACCAGAAAGAAAAAAATGCTAATTTCTTTCATGAATTCTTTCACGAAAACTATTTACTTTAAAACAGAGTTTTGGCCAATATCCTACATATTAGTGAGTTGTGCCAGCGCTCTTTGTTAATATTTTTAATTAAAAGTTTTGCGCTGATATACATTGGTTAAAATCCTGTTTGAGTAAAGTTAACAGTTTTCGCAAAAAAAATTCATAAAAAATAGATACCTATTTGATCTTTCTCTGGGTGTATACCTTTCTTTTAAATAATTTTGAAGTATATTTAAGTGAAGTTAAATTTTATATTTAAAAAATGCCAAAAAAAAATATTTTATTTGATATATATGTATACAGAAAGTGTTACATACACACACACACACGCGCGTGCGCGCACGCACACATATGTGTATATACGTGTATATAACACTTTCTTTTTTAATCCTATATACAATTTTAATTTTACTTCTTTTCATTTTACATGTATAATATTGGAATTATGAGTAGACATAACACTGTTATAGTAATTAAAGTGTAGGCAAGATTAAACTTTAAAAAATTTGAATGAGCGTGCTACAGTTTACACTTGTACTTTGTACGGTCTGCGGATGTTGGCAACCGCTTACATGGACATCGCAGTCAAAATATATAATGTATAACAGTTATAGAAACCTTATATTTAAAAAATGCCAGAAAAAAATATTTTATTTGATATATATGTATACAGAAAGTGTTACATACACACACACGCGCGCGCGCGCACGCACACATATGTGTATATACGTGTATATAACACTTTCTTTTTTAATCTTATATACAATTTTAATTTTACTTCTTTTTATTTTACATGTATAATATTGGAATTATGAGTAGACATAACACTGTTATAGTAATTAAAGTGTAGGCAAGATTAAACTTTAAAAAATTTGAATGAGCGTGCTACAGTTTACACTTGTACTTTGTACGGTCTGCGGATGTTGGCAACCGCTTACATGGACATCGCAGTCAAAATATATAATGTATAACAGTTATAGAATATTGCTGATTTGCATAGCAAGTACATTTACAATATCGCAAATTATGAACATTGTATTAAATATTAACAATTTTGATGAAATAAGCGATAATATATATATGACGTTGGCGGTATTTATTGCCACTTATAAAATAGTTACTATGTGGATAATTAAAGAACATGTCGTAACGATAGTCAATGTTCTTAAGGAGGAACCTTTTAAACCGTCGGAATCATACGAAGTAACAATTCAACAAAGATATGACAAAACAATAAGGTAAGTATTATTCTTGAATTATACAAACATAAAGTGCAACAGACATAATTCAATAATTAAATTTATATTATAATTAATAATAATTTCTGAATAATCAGAATGTTTTAGTTCTATCATTGCGTTATCAAATGCCTTGTAACAATACTTCAGAATGTAACCATATTTATATACTTTATTTAGTTAATATAATTAACACAATGTACATATGTACGGGAGAGTTGCTGAATGTGTATTTGTTTGCCTCAATTGTTGCCTCATTAATATTTTACATTATTACTTAATATAAGGACATTTATTAACAAAAATATAGAATAAACGAGAAATTAGAATAATTATTGCATATTAAGGCCGATCTCACAGATTTCAATGACTTCGACATATGTTGTTAAGGTCATGGCTCAGAGTGATCTCCAACAGGTTTTGAACATCGCTCGTTACAAAATTAATAACAAAATAAGCTATATAAATGGAACACAATTTTTACAATTCCGTAAGGACTTTTCATACAAAGCGAGGTCTATCCCACCTCTTCGTTTGCCTGCGTTTTGCCGAAAGGGGTCCGACTTTCCATGCAAAACAAGACTGTGGGGTGCCACAGTCTCCTGCGTATTGAAATATGCAACATGTTTCAAAATGACATAACAAATTAATAGGCCTGTTCTTTTTGTCTGAACTTTTGCACCAGTTTATCTTTCTTCTTTTTCTCTCCAGGAGGAATGAAGAGGAAGGAAGATGAATCGGTGCAAAAGTTTTAGCCAAAAAGAACAAGCCTTAGAGGTTAAAAATTTAAACATGTAATAATAAACAATAAGAAACATCAAGCTACAATTTCCAATGTTTATTTGCGTACAAATCAGTATTAAATGGAATATATAATAAAAAATTGCATAAGTAGTACACATTCGGTGATTCTCCCTTATATCTATTATGTTTAACATAATTTGATTATTTTCGGAATACAATTATTTTAATGTTCCATTATTACAAGCAGTCTTTCGAATTATATTAATATTATTATATTTTTATATCATGTTGTTCGTGAGATATTAATAATTTATAGCAGAATGCTTTTAATTTATCAATATGTCACAAACAACATAAATATAAATAGTAATATAATTTGTAAAAATATTATATAACAATGTTAATAATATATAAGTAAACACTTCGAGAACAAATGGACATAATAATTTTTCATAGTTGTTAAAATATTTTCATAAAAAATGTATTTTATAGGAAATACGCATTGTGCTATTACGGCCTTGTGCAGGTAACGGTCATATGCATAATTTTAAATACTATCTTTATGGATTTTATGAAAGGAAATTTGACATTCAAAGCATGGGTGCCATTTAACTACACATCATCCATTATATTTTTTTTCGTATTCACTCACCAAATAATAGGTATGTCAATCTGTGCGACTGTAAACGTTGCCTGTGATAGCCTGATATCCGGACTCCTGCAAGAGATTTGCTGTCAGCTTGAGATTCTGGAATACCGGTTGAAAATCTCATATGACCAACATAGTCTCTGCAATTGCATTCGTCACCATGGTCGTATATATGAGTTAGTTTTTAAAACAATTTTATTTAAAATATTTGGAATATTATCACACGCAAAATTGTCTATTTGTACGTTCTCTTCTGCAAAATTCTCATCTCAAAGTAATTCAAAAATTATTAAATTATTTATTTCATAAAAAATGTTATGAAAGATGTTCGATAAGATTGATAAATGGCTTCCAAAGTTATATGTAGAGAATAGACTAAAATTCTTTTTCTTTCTTTATTTAATGTTAGATACGCGCATATGGTAAATCGCAGATTTGCGAAGATAATTGCTCTCCAGTTCGCAGTAAGCATGCTAGTGGTGTGTGCTAATTTATACAAATTGGCTTCTATTTCTATCGTAATGATCAATGGAAGCCTTGTTACACTGATAATGTATACGGCCTGCATGTTATCACAGATCTTCCTCTACTGCTGGTTTGGAAATGAACTCAAATTAAAAGTATATAATTTATATAAATACACATATGATCTTATATATAAATATAAAAAATAAACTATATTTTTTGTTTATTACTATTACAACTTTAAAGAAAAAAACATAAAAAATTGAAAAGAAGAAAAAGAAATATTATTACAACACGTGATATATCTTTTTTAATAAGCAATATTTACATATAGAGCATTGGAGTAGCAAACAGCATATACAATATGAAATGGCACGTATTTAATAACAAGAATAAAAAAGCTCTGTTGCTAATCATGAGACGCTCAATGGTTCCTATTGAATTTAATAGCGCGGTTATTATCACATTGAATCTTGATTCATTTGTGTCTGTCAGTATTAGTTGATTATAAAAATGAATTTATATTTATAAATATAAATTTGCTATAAATATCAAGTAATATTAAATACTTAAAATCTTTTTACAGTTACTTAAATCATCGTATTCAGCTTACAATTTATTGAAGCACTCTCTACAGGATTAATATAGAAATTGTTATCGTTCATATTTCATAAAGCGATGTACAAGGTATGTTAAAAAATCAGTTAAAAAGTATATTAAATAAATATATTAACATATCGTTGATATAAATATATATTACTAAGTTATTTTTAAACAATATATCAAATGTTTGCGGAAGTACATGCTTCCATTAGCATGTGCTTTGATTTATGGTGTAAGAAAAGGTAATAATAGGTATATGTGCTTAGGACGAGAAACAAAGTTAAAATGATATTACAAGAAGTTTGTATTAACAATAGACATATTTAAATTATAAGGATTTTGTTTCAAACTTTTCCGAGATATTTCTATTCAATTTCTATTATTCCTCCTTACAAATATTTATTGCGTTAAAATTGTTTATTGATACTTTATTATAATTAATATTGTAGCTAAAAATAATATGCGTGCAAGTAAATACATTATAAAATAGAAAGATTTGTTATAACTATTGTAAATAACTACTAATATCTTCAACTTTACATCTAATCTAAGAATTAAAGATATTTTCTTACCTGTATATAAAGTATATATAAAGAAAGAGTAAATGTAAAGTCAATATTCAACGAAGCACTTGATATTTCGACATGTGACAGCGAGTCGTAAACGCTAAGACAAAAAGTGCATTAGTACCTAACTGAACGTACAACTATCAACATTAAAATTTCATTGCCATGAGCTATAGCCAACGATTCACTACGCAACAACCAAGGTATTAATTTCGCAAACAGATAATAAAAAATATTTTGTAATATACCATGAGTGAATTATATTAAAGGAAACGTAATCGTGGAAATATAGAAGACAAATAATACATCTTACTAGGGACAATTCAAAGAATTTATTCTTCCGTATATCTGTCTGTCTTTTCTATCTCGTCATCTTCATAAAAATATTCATAGACAGTTATACATTTGTTTAATAAAGCATATACCTCGAAACAATCTCGTGTCTTATTTCATGAAAATATTATTTCTCAAGAACGTCGCGTTACTAGTTTCGTATAATAATAATAATAGGAGTATGGATATATGTGTGTGGGACGAGTAGAAATATATCAGAATTAGAAAATAGTATCGAGAGATACGATAGACATTTATACATTGTAGTTTGAGGAGATAAAGAACGAAGATTTAATCAAATAATGTTCTCAAGAATTACCTGAGCAGTTTATGTTAATTTTAATAATGTGATAAACAGCTGAAAAATAAATGCAAGTAATATAAATTAATCGGGAAATCTTTGTAAGTGCATATAAAAATAAGATTTTATAAAATTAATTTCAAAGAATTTCTTAACTTCTTTAAATTAGCATATTAGAATCATTCTTAATATTTTCTTCCTCTATCATTAAAAAAAAAGAAATATTTCAACCATGATAAACAATAACGTAAATGTTAATTGCAAATTGCATAGGCTAATCTACATTAAAAAGAAGCTCAAATGCTGAAATTTTCACTCATGCTCTGCGCGATCGCTGCATGCTGGCAACCGATTACATGGACATCGCTGTGTAAACATATAATTTATAAGACTTATGCAATATTTCTGATCTCCTCATTATATTTATTTTTGTTTTCTCAATTTATAAACATTACATTAAACGTCGGCAACTCTGATGAATTTACCGATGCTTTATACATGATGTTGACGATATTCGTAGCAGGTTACAAACAGGTTTATATGTGGGTAGACCGTAAGAATTTTATGATAATAATAAATATTTTTAACGAAAAACCTTTTGCACCATATGAAACACATGAAGTAATGATTCAACAAAAATTTGAGAAACTGATACAGTAAGTGTCATAAACTTGTGTAATTAAATGCATCAGTTATTCCTCAATAAATTTCTAGGTAGCAATATCTTGCCTTGCGTTTTTGGATATTTTATAATAATTATAGCATTAGTAATTATAGCATTATAGTATAATAATTACAGCGCATCTATTTATATTACATAATAATTTGATACAGATAATGTAAATTATGTTTCATTTTATTAAATTTTTTATAGAATTATGAATATTTTTACATTTGTAAATACCTATAGATAAAAAGTGTTATAAGCGATATGTACTGCAGGAAATATAAAAAAAAACGAGTTAACCTCGTAGAATTGTTGTAACAAATTTTATAATTATTTTATAGAAACAATATGCGGAGGTATTTAATCATCGTCTTGATGTCAATCGGATCGATAGTAACGATGTCTGTCTCCACGGACTTTATGAAAAGAAACTTGACGTATAAGGCATGGATACCGTTTGACTACTCATCTCCTGCTATTTATTTTGTTGTATATATTCACCAATTAATAGCTATGTCAACCTCTGGTATAGTAAATGTTGCTTGCGAGAGTTTACTTTGTGGATTTTTACTGCACATCTGCTGTCAATTTGAAATTCTGGGGTATCGACTGACAAAACTCACGCATGATCAAAATAGTCTACGCGACTGTGTTCGTCATCACAACTGTATCTTTGAGTTAGTTTATTTAAGCAGTTCACATTTAAGACAAAAGTTTTTTAAATTTTTCTTCTAATTAAAAAACTCGGATTGCATACAAAATAAAGATATGTTTTAAACAATTATTATTTATTTCCCAAATAGAAAAATAACTGAAACAATAAATAAATGAAGAAGATATTACACTTTTTCCTACAATTTTTTTATAATAATATTGGAAAGATAAATAATTTTCTATTTATAAAAAATCTATAGATTTTTTTGGACGAAAATAAAATAAAGAAATATAAATATAGCTAATAAAGTATTGATTTCTTCAATAAATTTCAAGTGAAATTTGATTAAAAAAAGAGAGATTTAAAAAATATTTTCGCAAAGATTAAATATTTATTAAATAAAATAATGTTTATAAAATTTTTATTGAAGGTAGATAAATTCGGAGATAGAAAATCTGTAAAAAAGAAGCATAAAAAGTAAAATATTATTACTAAAATATTATAAATATTATAAAATATTATATATTCTGTATTAAACAAACAATTAAAATTAAGTAACATAAGTCTAATAATTTGTAAACAATTGAAAAATTATATTTGTTAGAATATTAAAGTATTACTGAAAATTTTTAATCTAATCGTAGATATGCATATACAGTGAATAATATGTTCGCGAAAATAATTGCTATCCAGTTTGCTGTGAGCATGTTGGTAGTGTGCTCGAATTTGTACCGAATAGCGATGGCGAGAGATTACGTTAGTTTCATTCCATTAATAATGTATACGAGTGCTATTTTAGTGCAGATTTTCATCTACTGCTGGTTTGGAAACGAAGTCAAGTTAAAAGTACATCTTATTTAAATTGATCCTATTTATATACTGAATATTGTTTAAAATAAGTTATCTGTGATGCTAAATGCAAAATAAATACGTAACTAAGATTATCAGAAAAAATATAACACTTTTCACTATAACATTATGTAAAATATGCATTTTTATTTGTAGAGTCTTCAATTGATAAATAGTATTTATGATATAGAATGGCTGGCACTTAGTAATAGCAACAAAAAAGATCTCTTATTAATTATGAAGCGCGCAATGACTCCTATCGAATTTACTAGCGGGTACATAATCACGATGAATCTTGAGTCATTTGTAGCTGTCAGTATCAAATATTTAAAATGGATATTATTATTAAATTTTGCAATTATTTTTAATAATTTTTAATATATTTATAATTTGTTTACAGTTGCTTAAGATGTCATATTCTGTTTTCAATTTGCTGCATCAAACAAATGAATAGTAACATGCTTAATAGGAATTGTTATCGTTCTCATTAGTTTTTATAAAATCACATAAAAAGAATGTTGAAATGTAGAAATAAATATTAATACCTTGTTAGTATCATAAAATGATCTTTAGATTTATACAATTTTATCAAGAGTTTTTATTATTACTTCTTGAAAAGTTATAGCACATAAAACAATTGTTTTAAGCGTTTTTTGGACAAATAAAAAATATTGATTAAAGTATTTTATCAACAATTAAAAAAAAATTGTGTTAAATATATAAATAAAATCATTATAAGCAATTTCATTATGTATGTGTGTATGAAACATTTTACTTTTTCTTTATTACACACACAGACATCCTATATAGGGTTTTACAATCGGCTCAATGCTGTGCCACTACTGGTTGCCATAGTTCAGGCGTAATATTGGTAAACTACTGGCTCAGTACTAGCAAAGTACTGGATGATAACTTGGGCCCAGTACTAGTACCGGCCTAGTTATTTTAGCCAGTTATTTGCCAGTGATGGCCCAGTATTGGTTGACAGAAACTTATCCATTAGTCGACAGCCGTAGCGTTGACTATGTGTTGGTTTCATTGTAACTACTGACGACCCTAATATGGAACGTTTTACCATTACATTAAACCATTAATTTTTATTTTGAACAGCACTGTCGTAACATCCAATATAATAAACAATTGACATCATTACACACAAATTTATCAATAATTAATTTTAATTTATACTACTTATTTATTTTGTTTATATATATATATATATATATAAAAAAAATATTTTGTATATATATATATATATATATATATTTATATACTTTAATTTATTTTATACTATTAATTTATGTATATATACAAAATTTAAAGGTTAAAATTTTGTCTTACCTCATTTACATTCGCGATGTAAGAGAGAATAAATGTAGGAATCATAATATGGAAATAACGTTATAACACATCATACACTTATAGATCACGCCTTCTTAAGAGCTTGCGTGACAAGACTAAAAAATAGCTATATTCATTGTGTTCTCAGGCATACTGTACTCGCTCAGAAAAAAGAAGATATAGGAATATAACGAAAACATAGTAAATATAAAACTGAGTACATGAACTGTCATCAATATTAAGATTTTATAGAAGTAAATTGCAACTAATGATTCGTTAACTGATATTCAAAGCGATATGTTTAAAATTGTAGACAACACAATGGAAAGTAATAAATATAATATTTTGACGGAACAATATATAACGAGGAATCTATATTGAAGTATTCTGCAAATAGTTATAATGACTAGTAATTTATTGATTATTCAAAGAATTTATTTCTCTCCATATATCAGTTTTCCTTCTGTTTTGCTGTCTTTATGAAAATAGTATATTATACATCTAATAGAACATATATATCGAAAGAATCTCGCATTTTCACTCGTGAAAATATTATTTCATGGGATATCATTGTAAGTTGCATGTATGGATATTACAATAATAACAGCAGAGGTACATCAGAGAATACGTAATGAATAGTATCATTATCAGAAAGTCGCGAGACATTCTACAGATATTCCGAGTTTTTCTTTCTTTCAAATCTTATCTATTTTCGTTTAAGACGCAACAAGAGCTTAAATAATGCCTTTAAAAATTACATGAATAGTTTAAATTAACTTAAAAGTGAAATATTAAATAAACGTAAGTAATTCACGATGCAAAAGGATTTTTGTATAAAAAAGTAAATGCGTTGTAAAAATATTATATTAAAAGCTAAATATAAAAAAATTAAATTTTATTAGTGGTTTCAAATTAATATTTATTAACTTAATAAATTATCTTTGTAAATATAAATTCCTCTCATCAAAATTTAATCAAATCAAAATCTTAATCAAAATTTAACAATATCAATTTTTATATTAAATATCTTTAGTTAAGCTATAAATTATACCATGGAAAATATACTTATAAAATAAATAAAATATATTTCAAGTAGAATTTTATTAAACAAATTAAAAAATAAAATTTTAATTTCTTTTGTACTCCTTTTTAACTTTTTTAGTAAACTTATTTTATAGTAGTTGATGATCTTTATCTTTATCTTTGAAGAGAAACATGTCTATACAATGTTAAAAATAATGTAATTAAAAAATATTAATAGCAATCGGTGTTAGCAAAATTGCATTAAAAGAGTTCAAATGCGAGTGCTGAAATTTACACTCCTAGTCTGCGCATTTGCTGGATGCTGGCAACCAGTTTCATGGACATCATTATTTAAACATATAATTTATAAAACATATGCAATGTTTCTTGTCTCTTCATTATATATATTTTCGATATCTCAATTTATGAACATTGTACTGAACGTCGAAAACTCTGATGAGTTCACTGATTCCTTATACATGATGTTGACCGTATTCGTCGCAGGCTATAAACAAGTTTATATGTGGATAGATCGCAAAAATATTATGATGATAATCAACGTTCTTAATGAAAAACCTTTTGCAGCATGTGAAACACAAGAATGGAGGATTCAACAGAAATTTGAGAAAATGGTACAGTAAGTATTAATTTCATGCAAATAATAAAATTTCTTAATTACTCTCTTCAATAAAACATTTTCTAAATCATAAAATATTTCTTATGTCTTTTAATATTTAAAAGTAATAAAAATAATGTAATTATATTGTATTCATATTTTATTGACAATTTGTACAAATGGATATAGAAATAGATTTATACAAATAGATATATGTAATATGTAACACAATTTCATTTTTTCAAAAGTTATTATTACTATACCTTCATTTAAAATAAAAAAAATATTTGTATACTTATAAATAAAAAAAGAACTTAGGAAAAAATATATAGTAACTACACAGTAATAAAATAATAGTAAAGTTAAATACAACTTTTATTAAATAATTAGTTTAAATAATTTTTATGGTCATTTTATAGGAATAGCACGTTACGATATTTGATTCTCATTATGGCGACAATTATATCAATAGTTTTAACGTCTGTTTTTACGGCAGTCTCAAATAGAAATTTGACATATAAAGCATGGGTGCCGTTCAACTATTCATATCCTGCTTTATACTTTCTTGTTTATACTCACCAACTGATAGGCATGGCAACTTCCGGTATAGTAAATGTCGCTTGCGAGAGCGTCATTTGTGGTCTTTTATTACACATCTGCTGCCAACTTGAAATTTTGGAGTATCGATTGACAAAAATGACGCATGGTGAAGACGTTCTGCGTGATTGTGTTTCTCATCACAACCGTATCTTTGAGTTGGTTCCTTATGTACTTTGAAAATCTGAATTATTATATATAATACAAAGTTCAGTTTTTCATAAAAATCGTTCTTTAAATCATACGAAATAATTAAAAGATATAAATAAAGTATAAATAAAGCGTTCTAAACAATGTCTTAATTTTACAGATTTTATTTAAAATTAATTTTATTGAATTAATTTGATTCTTTCTTTCTTATTTATTAAAAATCTCAGAGGTAAAAACTTAATATGTGTATCTATCTTAATTATTTTATTAGATATTAAATAGTAATGAAAATTTAATTTATGTATAACTTTAAAGGCTATTTGCATGAAACTAAACCTCTTATAATTAATCACAGATATGCATACACGGTAAATGATATGTTTGCGAAAATAATTGGTCTCCAGTTTGCAGTGAGCATGTTAGTGGTATGTTCGAATTTATATCGAATAGCAATGGCGACAGATTATGTGACATTCATTTCATTGATGATGTATACAGGTGCCATATTGACACAAATTTTCATCTATTGTTGGTTTGGAAACGAAGTTAAAGCAAAAGTATAATATATTTCTCTCAAATAAATTAACATGCATTTTATGAATATAAGTATATTATTAGAACTATAGGCTACGGTCCATTTGATGCTACGAATGCTTTGAAGCATTGATCGATTAATCAAATGCTTCGAAGAAATAGCGTAAAGTAGATCGCATCCATAAATAATATAAAAAAGCTATATTTATAACAAAATTGGAATGAATGTTTGTGTTTTGTAATGTGCAATATTTTTGTATCCCATAGAGCCTTCAGTTGAATAATATTTATAATATACAATGGCCGTCACTTAGCAATAGCAGCAAAAAAGGTCTCTTAATAGTCATGAGACGCGCAATGAATCCTATCGAATTTAGTAGTGCGTACATAATCACGATGAATCTTGAATCGTTTGTAGCTGTTAGTATCAAAGATAAATATTATTGGTAAATATATTACAACTACTTTAAATAATTTTTAATTTACAATTTTTACAGTTACTGAAAATGTCATACTCGGCTTTCAATTTGTTGCATCAAACGCAAGATTAATAATAAATGATTAAAATTATTATTCAATTAACAAACGTTATTGTTCAACGTGTTATGAAATCACTTACATTTTAATTATCATTTATATTTCATTTCTTTAAATACAAAATTCATACTTCATTAGTAACTAGATAGACTTTCACGAAACTTGTACAATTCTTATTAAAAATCTTTATTGACGTTAATTTTAGTAAAGACATTAAAAGAGAAATAAAAATTTCATAAATTAAATCATGTTAGTACTTCAAAAATTTCATATTAGTACTAAAAATAAAATTGTTACAAGCATTTTTGTAATGTGTTTTCTTCCATATTTCTCCATATTCCGAATGTAATGATGTTACAAAGTATTAAAACTATTTACTTTTTGTCCAAATATTCTGATTTATTTGTTAGCATCTTAGGCAACAAAATATTTTGGATTGGATTAAACGTTACGGAAATATTATAGCAGACACAGTTCCATATAAGCAATTACATATAAAAAAAGTTTAGTTTAAGTTATTATCAATGTAGTGACGTTTGGGTAGATTTATTATTAAATCTAATTAATAATTAGAATTTTTTTCTTATCTTATTTCTTTATTTTCATTGACAGAATATGCAAATTATAATACAGTTTTAAAACATACAATGGATGCATTCAGTACCACAACCGTTCACTGAGCGCTCATTGAGCGGTTATAGTACTGAATGCATCCCTTAATGGAAGCATTGAGGTATCAAAACACAACGCCATTCCAGGCGTGCCTTTTTTTAATTTTCCAATAATAAAACTTAAGGAAAACTATAACTTCAAAAATTTTATAAAAAGTTACCGAAATATCTAAAGATGAGGTTTTGCAAAAATTTTTAATTTTTAATAAGTTTTAAATTAAAAAGATAATGTTAAAGTAATTAAAATTAAAATAATTTAAAAAATATTATTAGTTTTTCAAATAAAAATGTTTATGCCTTACCGGCCATTTTTTTTCGCTTGTAGCTACACTTGACTTTCCACGTCAGATATTAATATGTGAGAGAACAATATTTACAATCCGTCTATATAATATTATGTATATTTACAATCCATCTATAATAAAATACACAATTTTAGTACTTACTACGTTTTTATGTGGTTTACTTCAGTTATACTTTGACTTACTTGCGTATTGCATCTCGATGCATAAGAGCCAAGTTATAAACTGTAAGGTAATAAAAAAGTATACCATGCAATGATATATTCTTGATATTGCGAAAATATATGGTAGTAATAAGTATTTCGTCATAGGTACAATAAGAAAATTATATCAATCGTGGAAGTAGTTGAAGGCTAATAATTTATTAAAGAAAATTGTAGGAATTTACTTTTCCATTATCTCAATCGTGGAAGTAGTTGAAGGCTAATAATTTATTAAAGAAAATTGTAGGAATTTACTTTTCCGAATTATTTGTCTTACTTCTGTACCGCTATCGCTATGTAAAATAACGGGATATTACGCAATATTAACTTTTCAATAAAATATATATCTTGTAAAAACGTTGTGCCTTCGTTCGTAAAAATATTCTTTGACATTTATCGTAGATGCAATATTATGTTAATAATCCATGTGAAGACAAAGACATATTTGTAAGGGATACAAATAGCATCACTACCGAAGGTAGAATCATAAGACTCATAGACATTCAAAGTATCTCGATCCTTTGTAATCCTTTGCTCTATCTATTTTTGTTTAAGATAATGACTTACATATTATATTTATTTTTTTAATTGTGTGTTAATTTAATAAATTAATTTTGCAAATATTTGATAGGCAGGATAATATAAAATACAAGAGGGTGAATTAATCAGTAAGTTAAAGTAAAAAATATAAAAATGTAATACGTGTTATACATCCAAAGTTTAACGTTTAAAAAAGATTTTATACAAAATTCATATTCAAAAAAAGATTTATATCCAAAATAATTTATTTATTAACTAATTTGAGATTAATTTAAAAACTATATAAAGGAGAGAAATATATAAAAACAGTTTTTACAAAAATATATTTCTTATAAATAAAATAAAATTAAAAATAAGATTTCAACAGCAATTTCGAGATAATATTGTAATTAATACCTCTTGAGCTTTATAATCTTTCTTATTGTTTTTTTATAATAAAATTACGTTTACTTTGTGTATGTAATCTTTATAAATGAGACATTTCAATTATAATAAACAGGTTTAAAATATTATGTAAGAAATATAAAGGATATTAGATTTCTAATATAATTGTATAAACTGCGGCTAAGAATCTGGCTAAAACTTCGTACATATCTGTCATAATTTACGATACAGTTTTCTCAAATATCCTCCTAAAAGGAGACATTGATCGGCGTAATCGTACACGAGTTATCACCAAATTAACACATTTTAATTAAATTGCTGTTCAAATTTAGTGTTCGTGTCGGTACGACAATCTTAAATTCTCAGAGTATTGCTCATGCTGCCCTTGTTTTGTATAGTCGCGCAGTTAATAAGCAAGCTCTCTGTTTATTGACGGATTTAATTACTTCATTAAGTATCACGCGAATTTCAACGTTCCAAAATACGTTCATTTTCATGAAAATTCAACATTAGCTATTTTAAGTGTAATGTTACATCTATCCGATAAATTTTAATCAAAATTTCTTACATTGAAAGGTCTTATAATTAATAGCAATTTGTGTAGGAAAAATTGAATTAGAACAGTTCAAATGCACGTGCTGAAATTTACCCTCACTATCTGTACAATTGCTGGATTTTGGCAACCGCCTTCATGGACATCCTTGTTGAACCATATAGTTTACAAAACTTACGCAATGTTTCTGGTCCTTTCATTAAATATATTTGCAATATCCCAATTCATGAACATCATACTGAACGTCGATAATTCTGACGAACTCACCGATTCATTATACATGATGTTGACCGTATTTATCGCGGGTTATAAAAATATTTGTTTGTGGATAGATCGTAAAAATGTCAGAATGCTAGTCAACGTTCTCCATAAAAAACCTTTTGAACCAAATGAATTTCACGAAATAACAGTTCGACAGCAATTTGATAAAAGGATACAGTAAGTATATACATATATATATATATATATATAATATATTCATGTAATATTTAATTGTAATAATATACAATATTCTTTAAATGCATTTATCTCACAACTTACATAAAAAATTCTTTATCTTTATATTTAAACAAATTAAAAATTAATTAAATAAGAATTGGTAAATAAATTTATTTATAATGATATAATTATGAGAGAATAAGATATTTCAGTTATAATAATCCAAAAAATATTTAAAAATAAAATAGCAAGTAAAGTTTAAAAAACAAATATTATAATAGTAAAAAACAAATGAGAGTGGACAATGTATAATTGTGATCATTTTATATATAGGAATGTTGCGATGCGGTATTTAACCCTCGTAGGTTCATCGGTTCTCGTAGTAACTGTATCATCTATCTTCATGGATTTTTCAAAAGGAAACTTGACGTACAAAGCATGGATACCATTCGATTATTCAACCCCAATTGCATTTACTTTCGTATATACTAACCAAATGATAGGCACGTCATGTTCCGGTTTAGTAAACGTCGCTTGCGAGAGCTTGGTTTGCGGATTCTTGCTGCACATATGTTGTCAATTCGAAATACTGGAATATCGATTAAAAAATATCAATCAGAATCAAAATATTCTGCGCGATTGTATTAATCATCACAATTATATAGTTAAGTTAGTTTCTTTGAATAATTTTCTTTTTCTTGAATTTGAAATATGTGAAATACAAAGTATTATCTCTTTTATAACAGTTTTTTTATATTCTTGCATTAAAATCATACCAAAATATTCAAAATTTTTTTATTGGCTAATAAATATATGTTAAATACCACAGATTCAGAAAATTTTGACTTGAATTTTATGATATAGATATATTTTGCACTTATTTTAATAACTAATCATTAAATACATTTAACGACGTGGACTCGACAGATATAGTAAATAATTGAAATAAATACTTAGAATAATGGATTTAAAATCTTCTATCTAATCGCAGATATGCGCAAACGATAAATGACAAGTTCGCGAAAATAATTGCTGTTCAATTCGCGGTGACCGTGATGGTGGTGTGCTCAAATTTATATCGAATGGCTATGACAACAGAGTATATGAAATTTGTTCCATTGATAGTATATACAGGTTGCATGTTGGCACAGATTTTTATCTATTGTTGGTTTGGAAATGAAGTCAAGTTGAAAGTATATATATTTCATTTAAAACAAATTAATTTTATCATTAAACGTAAATAAGATATAAGATAAATTAATAACAAGATAGTAGTGATTAAGAAAAGGAACTAAAAACAAATATATGATATTTCCTTCTTGCAATTTGCAATATTTTCATGTTTTTATTTATAGAGCCTTCAGTTGGCGAATAGTGTTTATAATATGAATTGGCTGAAACTTAGCAATAGCAGCAAGAAGGGTCTACTAATAATTATGAAACGTTCGACGATTCCCATTGAATTTAGTAGCGCGTATATTATCACGATGAATCTTGGATCGTTCGTAGCCGTCAGTATCAATAAATTAAAATAAAAATTATTGCTGACTGCAAACGTTTCGAATATTTATAAATACATCTATAATTTTTTACAGTTACTTAAGATGTCATATTCGTCTTTCAACTTGCTGCATCAAACAGAAGAACAATAACGTGTTTATTAAATAGAAAGTAATGTTTTTTATTTTTGTTTTTGGTTTTTTATAAAATCATGTAAGAAACGTAGAACTATATTAATAATTAATATTGATGCTAATCGTTTTATTAAAAACAAATAAAATTTTTAATGACATTTTTTATAAAAATTTACTTAAAACTGCAATGTGCACAAAATATATTAGTGAATTTATAAATATATTAATTTACGAATAAAATTGTAAATTTAAACACAATATTGTAGAAAAAATTTATATTAATAGTAAA